GCTCCCCGCTCTGGCTCTGGTGAATTCTCTCACCCTCCCGCACTTCTGACTGTACCCAGTGCATGTATAAAACAAACAAACAAGCAAACAAATAAATAAATAAATAAAACATGCCTCTATTAAAAAAAATAATAATAAAAAAATAAAACACATACCCAAGTCTGATCAATGAAATGCTGAGTACTACCAAAGTTACTATTTTTTTTTAAAAGATTTATTTATGCATACAAGAGCTGGGGTACAGGCCAGAGATGTGGGGAGTGAGAGGATACACCAGAGACAGAGTGGGGAACAGAACAGGCAGACTGACTGAAATACACTGCTGAGTGGAGCAGCGGGTGAGATGGGAGAGGTCTGCTGCGCCATGTGGGTTGCACCCTGGCCGGCCGGGGATTGAACTAGTGCTGCAGAGGCTGTGGATTGCTTCATAGTGCAGTGCTTAACCCCTTGCGCCACCAGGGAGGTCCGTAAAGTTACTATTTTTTATATCACTGGCATGTTAAGGCATTGTAAAGTAAGAGTTCTTAATTGTATTTTATTTTGAAATTAACTGAGCATATATTTCTTAGTAATAAAATTTATATCTTTCTTCTAAAGCTTACACTGAACAGCTTCCCGAGTTCATGTAGTTCATTCCTTAACTGGCTATATACATGGGTTGTTTTTTGAACATATAATTGCAACATTGTTTGAGGAATCATAAATTTTTAAATGTGCAAAAATCCACTGGTGTTTCATAAAGGGCTTAAGAAAATCATAGACAGAAGAAAAGAGATTCCACGCCTTTATGTTTAATGATTTGCAAATGTTAAATTAAAACATGATTGTATTACTGGTCTTTGGAGAAGAACTGATTTAAACAAATCAAAATAGCAGATGTAATTTTTCAGTGCTGAGATCTAACAATAATAAATTAGAAAGGAAAGATCATACATATACTGAAATACATTTTGACTTTCATGGGTCAAAAACTTCGTAACAGTAGGAAAAATCACAAACAGCTTAGGGCTGAAATTATTATATCTTTGTTTATGTAAAAGGGGCCAGTATTCTCTTATGTAGGATAAAGAGAAACCATCACTGTTACAGCCAGTCTGCAGAAACGACTTTATTCTGTCTGAGTTCTTACATGTGGACTTACCAGGTTTAATTGGATGAAAAATAAATACTGGAATGACTAGAACATAGAGTTTACTATTTTTTAAATTAATTTTTTTGTTGAAGTACCACTGTTAGAATATGGAGTTCAAATCAATAAAATTATCTGATGAGCCCCACGCTTTGCAGAAAGCAGAGAAATGACGTAAACTCAATTTCATCATTTTCCCCTGTTCATTTCCAACTCAGAGGGGATATTACTTGCTTCTTATATTAAAAATGCCTCCCTGGTGGCACAGGGGTTAAAGACAGCGCTATCAAGCTACTGCCAGCCACTACAGCACAAGTTTGATACCAGGCCAGGGAGGTGACCCACACGGTGTAGCAGACCTCTCGCAACTCGCCCGCTGCTCCCCTCAGCAGTGTATTTCAGTGGATTTGCCTGTTATGCTCCCTACATTCTCTGGTGAATCCTCTCCCCACCCCCACCTCTGACTTACACCCCAGCTCTTTCATGCATAAATAAATCTTTAAAAAAAAAAAAAAAAAGCCACCCTAAGCTACATTTCACTCTTTGGGAGTGGCAGCTAGCCTTAATCTAGGCAGTTCTGAATAGAACGTGATCGACACCTAGTGGCTAAAGACATAGACTCTGTGTGCTAGTTCTTGGCCTGCAACAAATGATATAGTGAGAAAAGGATCTTTGGAGAAGAACAACCTTAACTCCCACATCATTTCCCCTTTACCCAGGTTTGACCCAATTCTGCGGTTGTCAGCTTATCCCCGCAGACAAGGGACATTTAGCTAATTTAATTAATAACACAAAGTTAATCATGCTATCTCTATCTTTAAGCTGTATGAAATGCCAAAGAAAAAAAAGAAATAATAGTGGTCCTTTAAAAAAAAAACTTGAATTAAACCAGGTGTTTATACAATGAACAAAGAATAAAGCACTGCTTTCTTTTCAATTAATCTCCTCTACCTCCACCTCCATGTCTACCTAAAACATTCAGTCAGAATTGGCTTTTTCCAGAAAAGTATAGCAATGAAAAATAAACCACAGATAAGAGTTTTCTTATCACAGCTCCTGTGGCAACCACATCTGGCTGGGGGAGACGGAATGGAGGAGGATTGGAGAAGGGAATCTTAACTATGTGTCCTAAGCTGCTGATTTAGGAAACAAAAAAATGAAACCACACACGTGGCATGTTATTTCAGAAGTTAAGTGGGTAATATGTGTTCTACTAGTTGGTATTAAGACATCTTTCAACACAGGACAAGTGCTCATTAAAAGGGTCAGGGAATTTTGTTTCTGTAAGCTAGGTGGGTTGTTTGTGTGGTGTCTTTGAATGTGTGTTATTCCTGATCGTGTGTGTGCACGCGTGTGCGTGTGCGTGTGTGTGTGTGTGTGTGAGCCACCCCTCTGATTCATGACAGGGTCACCAGACTGGACCCAAACAACACATCTATTGTCACAAAAACCCTCCTGGGTCAGAGTGTCACAGTAGCTGTTGTGTTTCCATAGCAACCTGTGGTTGGTTTAGCCAGAAAAGGACAGATCACCCTTGCATGGATGACAGAATGATGACAATGATGACAACGCGAAAGGAATTTGTGATGTTCTGCATCAAAAATTCTTTTTTAAAATGAGTTCTAATTAAAAGTAAATAAATCGGGCCTCCCCGGTGGCACAGCGGTTGAGTGCTGGGTTGCGAAGGTGCACGCAGCCTCTGCAGCGCCGGTTCGATCCCCGGCTGCTCCCCGGCCACCAGAGGAGGGTCCCACATGGCGTGCAGACCTCTCCTGCTGCCCGCTGCTCCCCTCAGCAGTGTACTTCGGTCCTTCTGCCTGCTCTGCTCCCCTTTCTGGCTCTGGTGAATTCTCTCACCCTCCCGTGCTTCTGACTGTACCCAGTGCATGTGTGAACAAGGCAAACAAACAAACAAACAAATAAAACATGCCTCTATAAAAAAAAAAAAAAGTAAATAAATCAAGTTCATGGAAGCAACCAATACCATTGGTAAATAACTGCTTCTTTGAGCTTGACATTAGAGTATAATGTCTAGGGGGAAGTTTTTAGCTTAAATTGAAAAAAGAAAAAAGGGCTAAATCAGGCTGGGCATGCAGATGTGCTCAGGACACTCTTGGAGAGATGATGCTGTATAACCTGATTCAAATGGGGAGGTTAATTTTGATGCCTTTTCATTTTTCCTTTCCCCATGAAGCTCCCGCAGGTAGGGTTTTGAAAACATGCGCTCAGTTTCTTCCCTGACCTATCCATGTCTAATTGAGTTTGTCAAATTAAAAAATAACATTCTGAATAAGAAAATGTCAAAAATTTAGACAAACCAAAAGCAGCCCTAGATATTTTGGTTATTCTTACTTTTATTGCTATATCTTTTGCCTAAAAACACATGTAAATATATCTCAGCATGTGCAAACAGAATCTATTAATTTTCTGGAAACTGTAAAGAACGGAGAATGTGAGTATGGCATCAAAGCCTAGGAGATGGCTTCCTCCTATGGTCCACAGCACCATGAAAAACTTTAATGGAAAATATAGTCAGTTTGTGCTCTCACTAGTTTTTCAGTGCATGTCTAGAAATTTATTATTGAAAGGATATTAGTTTTTCTTACTAGGTTTTTTGTTTTCTAGTGGGAGGGCACCAAATGGTATCAAGACATTTGCTATCTGTTTACCCGGGGGTGGGAGGAGTAGAAGGAACAGATAGGAGAGAGAAGAAAAGGAGCAGCATAGCATCCAAAAATCTTTAAAAATATCTTGGTTAGGAAAAATGTTTCCCTGATACCATCTTAAAACTGGGCAAAGAAATTACCATAATGCAGATGCCCAGGGATATGTCATATCAAGAGTCTTTAAATTTTCTAAGTTTGCGAAGAATGCAAGATTTAATCCAATAAATGTCTGTTTTGTTTATATCTTTTTGTTTATACTGTACCTTTTTGACTAGACATTAAATTTTGGTGGTGTCTATGAATGTGTGTTATTCATGATCGTGTGTGTGTGTGTGTGTGTGTGTGTGTGTAAGCCACACACACTTTAACTTGAAATGACTTTAACTATGTCATATCAATGGTATATATATTTTTAATCAGAATAAAACAAAATATGATGATGAGAAAGAAAGTAAATAAGGTATCTGAGTAGATCAAAGAACTTTTGTAAGCTCGTGTTTTAGATATGGAATGTACATATATATTTCCAACTCTCATTCAGAATATGTTTGCTTTTACTTTACAAAGAAGTTTGACAAAATCAGTTGACTAGGTTTCTAAACTGATAGAAGCTTGGTAAGACTTCATGAGACTATTTCTTTTTTTTAAAAAAAAGATTTATTTATTTATGCATACAAGGACTGGGGTACAGGCCAAAGGTGTGGGGGGTAAGAGGATTCACCAGAGACAGAGTGGGGGAGTAGAACAGGCTGATCAACTGAAATACACTGCTGAGGGGAGCAGCAGGCAAAACAGGAGAGGTCTGCTGCGCCATGTGGGCAGCTCCCTGGCCGGCTGGGGATAGAACTTGTGCTGCAGAGGCTGGAGACTGCTTCACAGTGTGGTGCTTAACTCCTTGCGCCACCAGGGAGGCCCTATGAGACTATTTCTTTTGTAACCCCCAGTACTGAACACACAACTTAGTATACACATAGTGTGGATTTGATTTGCTAAAGACTGAGAAGATTAAAAGGAGTATTTAGCAGTTGGGGTTGGGGAGATGGGCACACAAATTTGGGAGAAGTTACAGCTGACAGTCTAAACTCCACAGAGAGAAAATTTATACCAGGCAGACAGATATCACCGATTTAAAGACACACAGCTCCACATGCCATACTAACCTCTGAAGGGTGATAGCACAGATACAGATACAATCACCATAATAATAATGACTACAAGCCACTAAGAAAATATTAACTTTCATTTAATATCCATTTAATAAAAGTCAGGGAGCTGTACAGGGTACTTTTAGATAGTTCCATTGGAGAAGATAAAAATATTCTCATACTTGGAGCCCTCAGTTTCCTCCCACATGAGAAGTCCCACACGAGAAGTGTTTACAAAGCACAGTTGTGAAAATATAATGTTATGTACCCATCAAAAAATTCCTAAATTTTATTCCAGGATTTCTAATTCCACAGTATCTTTTGTAGACATAGAACACATTTTTTTACTTTGCCTTTGAGACTTATTAAGCTTCCCAGTACATAATTTTAATAAATTCCACATATCAGATCTTCCTGTTTCAGTTATAAAACAGTAGAGAATTGGATCAGCAACACAATTTAAACTTGTTAATGCCACCGTGATCCTATATATTTTATAAGTCTGCTCCCCAGATGAGTTCTGTTCTAAAAACTGTTGGGTAAAACTTACATCATTTTCTAAAATGCTGCGAATCAGCAGCATCACATGAAAAGGAGTGAAGCACAAGACAAAAGTCACTGTGATACTGAACAGTAGCTTTATGATTCTCTTCTTCTCCTGGTTTTCTGTGGCTTGATTATGCCACACAGCTCGGTAGACCTTCTGGTTGCAAATCACAATGATGACCAAAGGGATGGCATAGCCTGTACACGTCCTGATCAAGTTATGCCTGACCTGCCACTTCTCCAAAGGGTATTTGTCATAGCATAAAGTAAAAGAAGTCTTTCTGGGGCAATGTTCTGTAGCTATGTCTTCTTCCCACAAAGTGACACTATTGATGATGGTCTCCAATAGCCACACAGAGAGGCTGACCATGAAGGCAAACTTTCTTGTCCTTAGGAAGGAAAACTTCAAAGGGTGGACCACAGCTAGATACCGGTCCACAGCGATACAGGTGAGAAATGCTGTGCTGCTGTAGAAGTTCATGAACATGAAGAAAGTACTCCCTTTGCACAAGGCAGGAGAGAAAGTCCAGTTGTCTTTATTCCAAGTGTAATCAATCCACAGGGGAAGTGTTAATGCATACAGCAAGTCTGACAGTGACAAACTGAAGAGGTAAATCCCTAGTTCATTTTTCTTCTTAGCTTGCAGCAAAGACACACAGAGAGACCCAATGTTGGCTGGGATGCTGACTATTACCACAAATATGTAAACAATTGGAAACAAATAATGATCCAGGTCATGCTGGTCTTCAATACAAGTGCTGTTCATTTTTTCTAACTTTACAGGGTGGCAATTACATTCACTTGCAGAAATGAAATAGAAATGTCAGTCTTGCTTCACTGTAATTGGTTTTCTAATTCTCTTTTACTAAGATTTCTTTTGTTCTTCTTTGTTCTCTAAACTTCTGATTAATTCATCTGTGCTTTTAAAGCTGGGTGTAGATCCATTTTCTTGCAGATAAAAATGGTTGGAAGTTAGAATGCAGGATCCTGGCAGGTAGCTGAAGTGGTCAGTTGATTTTAATGACCAGAAATCCATGTGCTTATTATCACAGAAAACAGATGAAGAATCCTCAAGGATCAAGCATGTTGTCCCTCAGCTTTCATAGATTGTTGTTCACAATTTATTTTCATGAAATGCAAGGGAGATTGGTGCAAATATGAAAATGCGATACTTTATTTTCATTGAGATTGGCATTTCTTTTTAAACGTCTTTGTTTCTGCAATGAAAGAGGAACTAGAATAGTTTAGATGTTTAAAAAGCATTCTGGTTCTGAAGCAAACTTATTTTGTTAGGCCCTTTGCATTAAATGACAATGAAAGTGTTTACAAAGAGAAAGTTACTGATTTTCTCTTTCTAATTGACTTTTGTAAATGAAGTCCATCTGAGATATTTCACCTATTTCAAATAAGGACTACCTAGGAAGGCTAGCGTAGATGGAACTGTATTTGGTAAGCACATAAAACCAAAGTTGAAAAGCCATGTTAGGAGCCAACAAAAAAGATGGCAAATTAAATTATGTGTTTGTAATCAGTAAGTTTTGAAAAGCCACAATTATATGATTCTAAAATTTAAATTTCATATGCAATGCAAGGATATGGCACTTTGAAAAACAATCTATTAGCCTAGAAAACAGTTACAAGAAATATGATAAAATGAAGAATTTTAAAATGTAGCAGCTAGCTGAGTCTTCATAGTAATTGGAGAATACTACCTCTTCTGTTCCTTTGCTTCCTTTGTGGGCTAGCTTTATCTTTTTCATGCTCTTATGAAAGAGAGGACAGAATGTTCTCAATTGTGTACAAAATATTGTGATCATCAATTTCTGCCTTTCTGATTCTTTATTTTTATTTTTTTAGAAGATTTATTTGTGCATACAAGAGCAGGGGTACAGGCCAGAGATGTGGGGGGGCGGTTGTGAGAGGATTCACCAGAGACAGAGTGGGGAACAGGAAAGGTGGATTGACCGAAGTACACTGTTGAGGGGAGCAGAGGGCGAGTCAGGAGAGGTCTGCTGTGCCATGTGGGTAGCTCCCTGGCTGGCCAGGGATTGAACTCGTGCTGCAGAGGATGCGGATTGCTTCATAGTGCAGTGCTTAACCCCTTGCACCACCAGGGAGGCCCCCACCTTTCTGATTCTTTATTAGGTTCATTCCTTTTTTAAGTTTTGATGTTATAGCTGCAAGCAGGAATAGAGAAAAATCTTCCTTTTGGAGTTGAGAAATACTTCTATTTTTCCTTGCTGTTAAAACCTATTGGTGTTTTGCACAGAAAACTTTGTAGTCACCATGCAGGGGAAGGAAGATTGGCTTTCTTCCTGTGTGCAGTAGAACCTAAGTTGTCAGAACCACCTTCTTCTAAGTGTGAATGACTTCTAAGCCCAAAAGAGATAGGCCACTTCAAGACGTAAGGGTCCTGCTATAGGTAATCCACAAATATCCTTATTACATATGGTATGTCACTCACACTCTTAGAACAAAATGGGGAACTAAAATTTCTGAAATCTTCCAGTTTTACTACACCAAAATATGCCTAAAATATGAAAAACCTTTTAAATCATTGAATGAAATTCCCAGAGAGGGGGAAAAAATGTGTGATAAATTTAGATAGAAAACAAAGAAAGTGGGAGCTGAGGTAACAGAGTTTAGGAAGGTAAGAGAGCAGTAAATCTCTGGATATGCTAGGGTCAAGTATGGGTCTGGAGGAACTAACTGGAGCCTCTGGATGCAGAGACACCAGGGACAGAGCAAGTAGGCAGCCCTCAGTCACCCCAGACCTATTGGGGTACCAGCATCTCCGCCCTCAGGCAAAGGACAAAGCAGAAAATAAAACAAAGTAACACACTTCATGACTTTTGCAGATAGTGGTAAAGTTGGCCAGGTCCTATCTTGGGTTTGTTTCTGTGTGGAGCTATAATAAAAAATCCTGAGTATTCATGGCCGCTGATGGGGCCTCCCTGGGGCATGGGAACTGTGTCTACGCTCCAGGTTTGGTCCCACAAACTTCAGCCCAACAATAAATTAATTTTGGATGACTGTGGTCGACTTCCTTAGTCATCAAGGAAATACAAACCCAGGTCATAGCACACCCAGAGGAACAAATAAAATGGGAAAGACAGGAAATATCAAGTGTGGGTGAGGATGGAAAGTCCCCAGAGCACTTGCATACTCTTGGCTGGAGAACTGTTGGCGTGTTTGCACAACATATGGCGTAGCAACTCCACTCCTAGACATCTGCTCTACAGAAATGCATCTATACATTGCTTCCCCAAAGATGTGTGGGAGCATGAGAATGCTCACAGTAGCATTTGTCATATCCCCTAGCAGTAGAGTAGATAAGTAAACTGTGGTACATTGATAGAATTGAAATCTATACGTCAAAAAAAGATGAGTAAGTTTTTCCTATACGTTAACATGGTTGATGTTCAGAAACATAAGACAGTGATAGAAAAAGGCAGGCACAAAAAGGTATCTACTATCTGATTACTAACTAGGTAAAGATAAATATACAGTCAGAAATGAGGGCGGGAGTCATTTATTAAGCATTTATTAAGGACTTTTGATGCTCTGGGCACAATAGTAAATGTCTTACACACATTTTATAATTTATGTTTCATATCTGTGTACTATTTATTATAACTCTATATACTACATGTGAAGAATTGGGCCATATCTTAAAAAATTAACACCAAATAACCTATGTCATTGTTGTGCTACAAATCAATGACAATCCTTGGTTATAATGCTTAAGCTTTTTGACTCTATTATTTTCTTCCTTTTATCCAAAAATACTTAAGGTATCCAACCAGCTTAAAATAGTCTATTTTCCACCTAAAGTGTACCGTCCAAAGATTAGTTCAAGTCTTCTTGTTATAAAACAGTGGCAATGAAATAAAATGACTTGTGAACAATCATTTCTGCAAATTAGATGTGGTACCACCATGTTTCCTAGGAGACAACACTTTAATGAGCTCCATTACATGAGCTACACATAAACTTGTGAAAACCATCATCTGACATCCTCGCCCATCCTCAATGACAGTGTGCTGAGTGTTTCCATGTATCTTTCCACGTGATTTTTGGGAAAAGTTGAAAGTGTTCCATCGCAGTAAGTTATGATGGGTAAGAGCCCCTTGATTTCTTACTCACTTTTATTGTCCCGGTGTACCTTACAGTGGAGAATGCAATGGTTTTAGACAGGTTTTTTGTTGTCATTGCCCTCAATTTTAGAGCTAGATGGTTACAAAGAACAAAAAAGCTGTTACTGCACCAAAGGAAACAAACTCGCAGCCCAGAGGGTCATGAGACTGCATTTTGAAGCGTCTATTGTTTAGTTCAGGAATCTTCTGTGAATTGTTTCAAAGTCAAAATGAATTATCCTGCACTCCTCACGAAGTGGTAGTGAAGGAAATGTAAATAAGACTGATTGTATAGAATCATGACAAGTAGGAAGAATCTAGGCATTTTCCTTCTCTCTTAACAAAGCCCATCTGTACAGTTGTAAATACCAGGTAGAGTGTCAAATTAAACATTTCATTGTTTGAGTGGGGGCGGGATGGAGGAGAGAAGAGAGGGATTGGAAGAAGGGAGGGGGAGGAAAGAAAAGGGAGACACATACACACACACACATACACACAAACACACAGAGGAAGGAGCTAAGGGAGATGGTGCAAGAGGGGGCAGGGTTGAGGGGAGAGAAAGGGAGAAAGCTGTTAACCACCACTGGGGAGTGGCCAGGCACTAGAGAGACTTCTGAGAATTAGTATGTGCTGCTTCTTGATAATGAGTGTTGATTCTGAAAGTGTGTTTAGTCTGTAAAAGTTTGTCTTGCTGTGCACTTAAGATAGGTATTTTTTCTGCCTGCGTTATATTGCAATGAATAAGTTTAAGAATGGAATCAAAAGACTGAATGAAATGAGATGTAAAGAATCTTGGGGGCCTCCCTGGTGGTGCAAGGGGTAAAGCACCGCACTATGAAGCAATCCACAACCTCTACAGCATGAGTTCGATTCCGGCCTGCCAGGGAGCTACCCACATGGCAGAGCAGACCTCTCCTGTCTTGTCTGCTGCTCCCCTCAGCAGTGTGTTTCAGTCAGTCTGCCTGTTCTGCTCCCCACTCTGTCTCTGGTGAATCCTCTCACCTCTCAAACCTCTAGCCTGTACCCCAGCTCTTGTATGCATAAATAAATGAATCTTTAAAATAAAAAGAAATGAGATGTAAAGAATCTTGACAAACTCCCAATCCATGTTTTACCTGCACATGAAGCACATATACCTTTCTTAGAAATGATAGAATTTTACATCTTTCCTCATATAAAAAATAATTGTAGAAACAAGACAAACTATACATAACTTAAGTAATATGAAATGAATTCACCAAAATAAAGATATACTATATGAAAAAGTAAATGTTCCAGACATGCAGAAATGAACATAAATCCTCCTTTGAGAACAACCTTCTCAATCCAGGATTCAAAGACTTCTCATAGCTAGAGTTCTAACAAATATGACCACATTCATACACACGCATGTGTGTGCATAGACACAAATCAGCAACTATATGTGAGATTTAACAAAAACAAGAAAGAAGTGTATCAGATCCACAAAAGCTTTAGAGGTAAAAATTAATAGATAAATAACACAAGAAGTATTTAATGTGTTTATAGAAATGAAAGGAAGAATTGGAATACACGAATAAGGAATAAAAGACTATAAAAGATGTCCAGGCATATTTTAAGAGAACTGAAATAGACTTTGTAGAAATAATAAACATACTAATCTAAACTGAAAAATGAAAGCATGGAACGATGAGCTCCAGCTGAGGAGAGAATTAGTGTATTACAAGCTTGCTCTAAAGAAATAACAAAACTATCAGCGTGTTAAAGAGCTGGGTAAATAACAGAGACTTGGAGGATAAAGTGAAAGACCACATATTTATCACTGGAGTTGTGCAGGGACAATAGGGAAGAGCCAATATTTGAAAAGAACAAAAATAAGGACTTTTTTTTAGATAAACTACCATTGAGAAATTATACCCCTAAAATTCTCATTAAGGAAACTTCTAAAGGATATAATTGAAAAGGGAAAAATAGCACTAGGAAAAAATCTGAGGTGCACAAAGGATTGAATAAACTACTGAGGGTGAAATTTGATGGGTGTCTATTCCCCTTCCATCAAGAGGCTCATCTACCTGAAAATGTCTGAACCACAGAAATATCCTTCCTTGGGACAACACTAGGAGAGCTGGGTGATGGTGCCCTTCCGCTTTCATCCATGCTCACTTAATAAACATGCCTCTTTTCTCTCAAAAAATAAGGTGGACCAAATGGAGAGTGATTTCAAGAGGATTTATAAAGTTTTCAATGGAATAAATGTCTTACTCTATAAAAACATGTTCCCTCCTTGAGTAAAACCACAAGACAGGGAGGTATGATGAAATGGAGACTGGGTGTCTTTGCTCTAGGTAACAGTCAGTGGTCATGGGGACTTATGGTTATGGGTGTGTTGGAGTGGCTTTGACAGCCTCTCAACAGCCCCCTGGGGATCTGGGATAATGGTGCTGCCTCATCTCTCTTAGATTCAGCCTTCCCTTGTGTAAGCTGCACCCTTTCACTGAGTGGTGTGAGTTAGAGATAAGCAGAATTCTTGCACAAGGAAAGCCATCGCTGTAGGTTAGCTGTGGATTGCTTCAGCGATTTGCTGTCAACCCACAGCTGCCCTTGGTGCAATCTCCTACATTTCCTGAAAGGAGGTCATCTTTGACCATCTACCCAGAGCATGGCATATAAGCCAGGGACTCTCAGAGTAATATTTCATCTATGATACCACACTCTGCCCGTCATAACTGTTAAGATTATTTCTGTGAATCTGAGATCTTAATGGAAAAAATACATAATTCTTAGTATACATATATCTTTGCAGATATCATTTTGACAATAATCATCAAATTCTAATAAAATTGATTTTAGAATCAGTGCCAAGAAATTTGCATAAGTTTTTAATTTTAATTTTTACCAAATGCCCAAAGATGATGACCCACATAATATTAAAGTAGACCTACATTAATCGGCTCCTGCAAGAGTCGTGTTATTGATGACAATGATCAAAAGATAAAACATTTCCCTACAGTGTTACAGGAAATATTTGCTTCCATTTCTCAGTTCAACAGATGCTTATTAAAACTCTACTGTGTATCAGGTACCATGATAGTCATTTATTAAGCAAGAATTACTAATGAATATTTACAAATATTGAAAATGTTTCCAAATTCACATTATTTCTGCTGGCTACAATAAGTAGCACGTGATATCTGTACTGATGAAGAAACAGTGCCAGATAATTTTATGACAAGGAGCTGGTAGATTTCTTCCTAAAACCTTAATTTCGTTTGCCAATACACTGTTTTTTGAAGAGGATGCAGAATGTAAAAATTCCTCTTTTGTACACCGATAGTTTAACCTAACTCTTTATAAATATCGATTTTTTAAATGTCTTACCACCACTTAAAGTAGAGGAAACGTGCATCCCTCTTCCTCTCTCATCATGTTTTGCAATACCTTGTACATACATCCTAAACTAGATAAAATGTTGCAACCGTTACCCACAACCATGCCAAAGTATGCTATCTACTAAAATATTCTACTTTAAATTTATACTTACCCATGTCTCTTGGGGTGACGATTTTGTCGACTGAGGACCGAGGAGCTAGATAAATCTGCTGGCATCAAGAAGAGAAACTAAACTCGTAATGAGACAGGAAATAACACTCATATTTCTTCAGAAGTTTGAGGAAGCAGCATCTTGATGAGAAGAATGTACATTATCCACGTTTAAACAAAGAAATCTCTGAACTCAAAGAGATTCTTAATTTATTATTTACTGTAGAAATATATTTTTGATAATGCACTTTCTTCTTTGCATTTGAGTGATAGTCATAGGTGGGTATTACATGAATTTTGTTCACTATAATGTGTATTAGAATTTCATTTATTGATTGGTTCATTCACTCATTCATTTATCCTGTCTACACATACATTTATTTATGTTCTTAAGTTTCTGTGCTGAGATATCTAATATAGGACCAATCTCTACACCATAAGGAGCTTATCACTTAGCAAAGGAGAAAGGCACACTCAATAATAACCATGATACAATGGTAAAGGGGGATACATACTACAAAAGAAGAATAAAGCAGAGAGGATGAGTCTTAGGATGTGTGGGGTAGGAGTGAATGTTGTTAATGGATTTAGGGTGAGCAATTTCCTGGGAGAAAAATAGCAGAGGCTGGAAGAGGGCTGGGTGGAGAATGAGTCGGTTTTATTGGTTACTGGCAGTGATGGCAGGGCAGAGGTAGCCAACTTTGCAAAGTCTTTTTTTTTTTTTTTTGAGGGACCAATGGAATCAGCTATGAAGTATTTTATTGTAGAACCATTTTCTCCTTTGATTTTCCTCTTGGAATAGAAGGCAAATATTGTTAAAACCATGCTAAAAACAGTTGAACTAATCAACTTAAGTAAATCAATCATGTTATGAAATTTGCCAATTTATTTGTGAAAGACCTAGACTGCTATTATAAAACTCATGTAGACTTCAATATATTGACAATTGCTAAATCTATGGGTGGCTTAATATGAAATGGAATTAACTCCTACAACTTCCTGCTTTTGGAGATATTAGAAGTGTCAGAGACATAACTTTCAAACCTTGCCCTCATGGATATCTACTACAAATGAGGGGGCAAAGTATTCCTTGAGAGGGACTAAATTAATTTGGGAAGGAAAAATTTAAGAATTTTAAAAACTGTAATAAGGACAGTTTGAGTCGGTCTTTGTAAAAGAACACAAGAGGTGGCTGTTGGTAGGTTTTGTTATATCTTCATAGAGATGAAAAAGAGGATGTTGTGCTATAACCAAAGCATTTAAATCTTGGGGTTATTCAAGACATAACAGGGATGGGGAGATTGTCTCTGCCTTCTTTGTGAGTATTTCATGGAGAATAATAAATGCAATCATTTGCATTTATAAAGTACACAACAGGTTATAAGGTAATTAGCTTATAGTAACTTAGAATTCAGAATACTTCATATGTTTATTGAAGTAATGAAAAAATTTAAGTAATGAAAAAATTTAAGTGAATAATAAAGCCTTAAGCTTTTACAAAAATAAAAGTAATGATTTCAGTTTATTCTTGATTCTAATTCAATGCAGTCACTTTGGCTTGCTTTTGTACATTCACTTATCTGTGGCTTCTATATATGGTTAATTCCTCATTCTCACCATCTCTTATTTTACTGAGCCTAATTTAGCTTTTATGGAAAGGGTAATTTCATATCCATCTAAAAATCTAAGTGTTTTGCTATTAAGAAGGCATAGATAAGAAATAATCAAACATCTACTTCTGATTAAAGTCGATGACTTATGCCAACACCATGCTAATTCTACACAGTAAGTCATATAATTTATTTGCTTCTTACTTAGTTTAGAATAGATGGTAATCCTGTCAACTATAGGACTCTCTGAACTCTCAACCGCCGCATCACCTAAAGAGCAAGTGGATATTTCACAGCATTGAGTCTCCGTGATATTAAAAGTCTCAAAGTTGAGAAGATGAATGAACAGTTATTCACAGTCTGGCATTGTGGGGTGTCACCTTCCTGGCCTGTCAGTCGTCTGGTCTTCTGAGACCACAAAAGGAATACCCCAAACTGATCTGTGGCACGAAATTGGGTCACACATGGGGAAAAAGGGAAGAGAATATGGGTCTGTTTGGTTCCAACTTCTCTATGAGGCAGACAGTGCAAGAAAAGAAACTAATTGCTCACGAAGGGTCCTTTGCAAAGAAAGCTCCATTGTCCTTTTGAGGCAGTTTCACTCTTATAGCCACAACTAAACACAGCAGGGCATGTTTTGAGGTAGTGAGTTACTTTCTCATCCATATCACCTTTTGCCCCAGACCAACCTTCATGCACTCAATTCATCGCTTTGCATTTATCGTGTTAGAGAAGAGATTCTTGTCAGAAAAGTGGGTGGTGGTGGGGTAAAGAAGACAATCCTACTTTTGAGTTTCTAAAAATTTAGGTAACTCAGGAGGATGGAAAGGGCTGAGCATAGACACCGGGGGTGATACCTGCAAAACTTCTCTCACGCCCAAGAACAGAAAATGTGTTATCACCTGGTAGTACTGGGGCTTGGGATTGTAAGGGAGGATGTAATGAGGGCTTAGATGTGGTGCTTGAAATATCTTTGCAAATGGATAGCCATGAAGCAAATTCCTTATGGTGCTTTACAATACTCATTTAAGTAACTCCACCAGATATTAAAGAGTAACTGCAACGTTTAATATTATATGAGTAGTTTGTTGAAATGCATAATGGGTATGTGTAACTTAAATATGCTCATGACCACCTTTCAAAAGGTGAAACTTAATATCCCTTCCCTTTGAGTGTGTGCTTGGCTTAGTGACTCATTCCTGACGACAGCATAAAGCAAAAGTGACGGTGGTACTATTTGGAGACTAGGTCCAAAAAAATCCCAGAACTTCCTTCTTTCTCTTCCATCACTTGCTGAGGCTAGCCAGCCACCAGCACACAAGACAGTGCCACATGGTGGTCATCTGAGTGAGTCAACAATGTATGATGAGTGGCTGGGGTAGTCAGTCTTCAAGCTCATTTTTCTGTAGGGTCTTTGTTCTGCTCTGGGTCAACTCAGTACAGTGATAAAATGGGTTAAACTTCTCAATGCTATTCATTGGTTCCACCTCTTCCCTGCCCAGACCTACTTGCTCTACTTCTTCATCTCCAATTCAAATGCATTTTCTTGATAGATTGTAGGGCAAATTCAAATTAAGGTATACATGATTTTTTGACAATACTCTTAAGCATGTGAGCTAAATCCCCTAGGGTGGAATTTTTGCCATCAGGTTAAAGAGGTGTTATTTTGAACCTGGTGATTAAACATTCATTACACATATCTTTATTTTGTATTTTACCATTCATCCCACAAGTGTTTATGAACAAACATGTTTAATTGTTTATTATAAACAAATACCATGCTGCTGTGACAGGAATCACAGTGAGTCAGACAGAGGACTTAACTTTTGTCCAATTTCATAGTCTTGTAAAGAAGACACATGAGAAACTAAAGGGAAGGTTACTCTCAGCATGTAAATCAAGGGAAGGTTACTTAAGCAGGAGGTAGCATTGAGATGGATCATAAATGAGAATACTTTAATGATGTGTATGCAACAGACTTTTCCTGGGATACCAAAGTGTAGAGTTAAATTTTTTTTTAAATAATTCCAAGTTTTTCTGATGACTCAATGATTGTAAGTTTATGGGCTGAGCACCAACCATATACCCCATGCTGTGTTATTGTTGAGCACTGGGCTGATTCTTAGCCACCATTCGATATTGTTATAGGCTGAACTGTTTCTCCCCAAGTCAGATGCTGATTTCTAATCCTCAGGACCTCATAATTAATTGTGTTTGAAGAACTTTAAAAGGGTGTTTCAGTCAAAATGAAGTCATTAGCATATACCTTAATTCAATATGACTAATGTCTTTGTAAGAAGAGGGAATTTGGACACACAAGGGGATCCTAGAGGTGTACCCGCACACAAGAAAGACCATGTGAGGACACACAGAAAAGACAACACAAGGAGAGAGGTCTCAGAAGAAACCATAATTCCCTGCACCTTGATCTTGAACTTCCAGTCTTCAAAAGGATCTTGAATAAGCCTAGGATTTGGGGCTAGGTGGATTCTAATAGTCTTCTTCTGTGGAAATACAAAAATATGGATTTTTGACAATCCAAGGTACAGGTATATCATGGGTGAAGCATAGAAGAAAAGAAAAACTTCCTGGAGTTCTTTTAGCTGAGTAAATCCAAGCAGTAACAATGACCAAGGAAAGAACTACAGGTGGCGAAGGTCAGGTTTCAAGCTGGGGAGATACAGGTATAGAGGTTAATAATTCTCTTCATGATCATAAGCTAGGGATGGTAACCTAGGGTAGGTAACAGCAGGGTTCTTGCTGTAGACAACAGCACTATCTATGCCAAACCTGAGCAGGAAAGGAAAGACATGGAAAGAAACTGGTACAGGACACAGAATTGCTGCTGAGGTTGCTGAACCAGGCTTGTGAATGGGCTAGCACCAAAGGTCTGGAAAGACTGGTCACCCTGCCTGAGCACTCAGCTGGGAGAGTGCCTCTCATGGGGCCGGTGTGCAGCTGCCTCCTCGGGACTCTGGATTCCCACATGATGTCAGTGTGCTTTCTCAGCTGGCCACATGTCAAGTCTGTCTTCTACGATTCAACTTGCAGGTTTGAGGAACAAATGATTTTATTTCCTTGTATTGTCTGATTTAAGAGAACCCCTACCTATATTTTAGAGATAAGGCACTGAAACAAGTTCTGGAATGTCGCCAACTCCTTTTGTAAATAATCCTTTTTTCTTGTCTCCTTTATATTTTTTCTTTTTTTTCTTTTTTTTTTTGTGGTGTGGAGAGATTGAGTTATAGTCAGACCTCTAGGTAATACAGGAATTCACCCATGTTTTCTACTAGGACTTGGAAGATTTCATTTTTCTCAATAGAACTTTATCCATTTGGAATATATACTTAAATTTGGTATGAGGCATGACTCTAATTGGATCTTTTTCCAAATGGTTATCAAGTTGTCCCAACATTGTTTCAATAATTCCACCCTATCTCTAGGGATCTGAGGTACCTTAGAGTGAGACTTTAAAAAGTTCAATTCAACTAATATATACTGAATACCTACCATGGGTTGGATATGGCATTTAAGGCAGAAAGAGACTTGGCTTTTGCCTTTGAATTTCTGGAAGCCAAATTCAGATTTCTGAAAGTAAAAACATTTCTTAAAGTGAGGTGACATGGTGCTATCAGGCTTTATCAACAACTTTTCATTCAAGCACAAGTATCTCATCTTTCTCAAGGGACCATCTGACTTTGATCACATTTTTTCACTTTAGAGAAACAACAGCTTTGAAGGGGTTTGAGAGAGAGAGAGTGATGCTCGAGAAACACTGTTATTTAAGAGAAAAACTATCCCTTTCTTTTAAAAATCAACCAAAATATGAGAATTAGAGGTATTCATTTGTCAAATCTCAAGGATGCTGAATCTATTACAGGACAGGGAGAGGGGCAGCCCAAACCCCGCAGACCTGCCTATTCTAAATGGGTTCTGCCATCCGCCACGTCAACACAAAACATATGAGACTTTAATGGGAAGGAACTTTAATAAAACTAGGAAACAATACAGTAAGGCAAAGAGTCTAGTTTCTAAATGAAGCACCCAAAGTTACCCGTCCCCTCGTGGGTAAAAGTCCATCCATATGGGATTGGCCCAGAGAAAGGCCCCAAAGCCTGCTACAAGTCTAAAGCACCTTCCAGTGGGGACCCACAGAAAAGGGTCAGAAACAACCAGACAAGCCCGGAAGGAAAAGAGCAAAATCAACATCAAGATAAAAGCTGCCATTGTCACCTCCCCACGGGTCTCACCCACATCTGTGTCACCCAGTCCATGACCAAAAGGCAAGCGCAGTTTCTTCACGTGTCTCCTGGCTCCATCCTGCTTCCTTCCTCCCTCAGTCTCCTCTGCAGCTTCTTCTCTCCCTGCTCAGCTCCACCCTCCCTTGGGTGGGGCAGGGAACCTGGAACTTTCCCCTTTCCTGGGGACCACCCTGTTACAAAACCACCAAAGTGAAGGAAACTGAACACTTGCTCACTGGTCTGATAACCACCATTTCCCTTTACCTCACCTCTTGAGCAAACTAGAGTACTAGAGTACTATGCCCACTGCCCAAGAGAGCTGGCTTTCTCAGTTTGTATTATAGGTTTATTAGGAACTTTCTTGTCTAATGGTTTCCTGAGCATAGATTAGAAATTTGAAACCACAGGGTTTTTTTTTTTTGGTGTGGGGGGAATAAGGATTAATTTTGGTATGAACTGACAGGAACTAGTGGTATATCACTGGGGTGTGGCCACTTTTTCTGTTAAATATTCCATTTCCTCTTATAGTTTTCACACATTGCACAAATATTTGTGCCACACCCTCACCTTCCACATGCAAGGTGCAAGAATGATGCATGCAAGGATGGCATAAACTGGGTTTGAACTTAAATCTTATGTGTATGGCTACTTTCCTGTATTATTACCTTTGTATTTCCCTTCTTAGTCACATTATTAAGCATTTGTTATATGTATATCACATTTGTTATATGTATATCACAGACATAAAATCTCAGGATTGGTAGGAAGCTTAGCATTATTGGGGGCTTGTAGGCCCCAATACTGGTAGCCAGCTCATAATTAAAAAATTGTTAGAATGGAGCGGAGTCAATTCTAGGAAGGCAAATTTATGGCTCTTAGATAGTTATTGGCTTTAATCATAGAATGGTGGTGTGAGGGAAAGTAGATAATTCAGGTTTGTACTGTACTGGGAAAAGAAATGGAAGAAAACAATGGACCCAGATAATAGCGGATGATATTATTCATCATGTATACCAGTACACTTTGAGGGTGAAAGGGGCACTATTACTAATTATGTTGGGACAGTAGAGATCAGCTGGGACTGTTCTTGGTAATTCAAAATAGACCAATAGTAACGTAAAGAAAGAAAGGGCAAGGAACATAGAGCTATTGTCTATTAAAAACCCAGGGATATCAGAGGGGCCTGATGACTGTGTTAATGGTACTGCCCAGAGAGAGTACTCCCTCCTAGTACAACTGTGGTCCCAAAACAGTCTGAACAACATAATCTGATTGCAAGTATGACCCTGAAGACAAAGGCTCACATGTTGGATAGCCTCTGGGTATTCTCCCTGCCATCTTGGTGTCTCCCAGGCTTGTGCAAACACTGATAACCTTCCTCAGCTCTGCTAAATGTAATCTTGGGAGTCAGAATGCTTGATCTGCTACTTCTGAGTAGCTTCAATTTGCTCCAATAACAAGGAAATCAGAAATCTCAGTGCAATGTTGGATGTGTCAAATCCCAGGGATTTGGGATTCACAACTCTCCTGCCAGTTCGAGTTTTCTCCCTGGACCCATTTCAACTGGACGTGGAAGATGCTTTATGAAGCTAATATCTAAACACACAGAGTAGTTACTGAAAGGTTTGGCGCAGTAAAGAAAAGGAAAGCCAGGCTAAATTTCTCCCAGGCAAAAAGTTTATTGACCAGGCAAAGTTCACCAACCCCCGGGGGTCGGAGAAGTCGCACCCCTCAGGGGATGAGGATAAATCTTTTACAGGACAGCATCTGGCCTTATGTCTTGCTTTTCAAAGAAGTTGTTCTCTCTTGGAGCTTATTGTTCTTTCATGGCTGCTTATCAGGCAGGTGCAAACTGGGTAGAGCCAGCTCCCAGGATGTGGGTGGCCACAGTTTCAAGTTCCTCCCTCTGCCTCATCACTGCCCCGGCCTCGACCTTACAGTTACCACTATGGAGAACCATGTCAGCTAACGTTTGCCCCAAGTGACGCGCATTAGACTACGCATTACTGCCATTCTCCTTTGTTTTTCCTTAACCCTATGTCTCCCACGACATATGATGACGGCTAAGTCACTCGGCCATGGAGAAACCAGAACTGAGATTTGGTGAGGGGCCGCAGGCAGATCCTCTCCCTTGCTCCGCCGTGTGTACCATGTAATGCTGGAGAAGGTCCTGGCAGCCCACTCATTGCCCTGTTCGGAAACCCACCCTCCCTTACCTCAAGTGCTCCAGCAAGGAGCACCGAAGTGAAGCCCCTGGCCCGAGCCACACCTGCCCTGGGAGCGCCAGCCGAGGCTCGCTCTGCCAGGCCAGCACACCAGGGCGGGTGCGAGGGCGACCTGTGACCCGCACTCAAGATGGCGGCAGAGGCGTCAGCGGCCTCCTGCCCTTCTCCATCATGGCGGCCACGGGACCCGCCTCCCCGGGCGCCGGAGTCATGTGACCCACACAATGGCTGAGCGCCTAGTCCTGGCTTCCCAGCAACGCCGAAAGAAAGCCATGACGGCCGCCGCGGGTTCGGCGGGCCGCGCCGCGGTGCCCCTGCTGCTGTGCGCGCTGCTGGCGCCCGGCGGCACATACGTGCTCGACGACTCCGACGGGCTGGGCCGGGAGTTCGACGGCATCGGCGCGGTCAGCGGCGGCGGGGTGAGCGGCAGGCGGTGGGGTGCGCGGAGGGCGCCGGGGTCCGCCCCGTCCCGCCCCACAAGCCCCCGCGGCGCAGCCCCTAGTTTCCGCGCCCCCCACGTCGTCGCTAGGCTCCTCGGACGCCCCTCGACCGGGGGTCGGGCGCACCGCTGGGGGGCGGGGACGGGCGGTTGCTCGTGTAAGATGAACCTGGGGAGACGTTTAGGATTAGCAGATGAGGCTGCGGGAGCCGCCGAGGGACAGGGCTAGTGAATGGCCAGAGCGGGGCTCGAACCCTCATCCTGGGCTCCCCTCGGAGCGCGCACTCCGGGAGGGGCGCTCCTGAACCCGCCCGAGAGCCGCGGAGCCTTCGCCTGCAGGAGGGGCGCCCCCGGTGGGGTGCTTTGACCGGGGCGCTTCCTTTTTAGACTGGGGTTGGATGGGGAGTCGGAGCCTTTAGTTCGGGGGCGGCGGTTGGGCGCTTCCTGAGGGCAAGAGCCCCGTGATTTTTGTTGGAGGCAGGACAGGTGCCTCAAGACCTTTTTAGGAAGATAAGAGTTCTGAAACTTTCTGGGACTTCTTTGTCTTTCTTTTTTAAATTAATGGTAGGCTCCAGTAGTATCGAATGATGGTCTGGGTTTTGTTTTTAAACTATTGAGGGGACCTGTGTTACCCATAGATGGTCGAGACCAAGAGGATGAATTACCCTTTGGATGGGCCAGTGACTGTTCCTTATTGGTGGCTGCTTTTGAGTTTGAGGAGGAGGAATAGTTGGCTTGCCACCTTAGGGTGCAGAACAATCACCAGGTGTTTGCTTGTAAAAATGCAGATTCTGTCTCCTAGCCCCCCTGCCCGACTTTGTAGTTTTGGGTGTGACCTGAGAATCTGCTTTACACACAAATACTATTGAGAGACCTTCTTGATTCAAGGATCTCAAGAGCAGGGGATGAATTGCTGCTTTAAAAATAGGAACTTTACATTTTAGAGTAGTTTCAGATTTACAAAAAAAGTTACCAATACATTGCTTATATACCCTGCAGGCAGTTTCTCCTGTTAATCAGCATCCCATATTAACATGGTACATTGGTCACAACCAACATAGTTAACATTAATGGAAGTTTATACTGCCTTTCGTATTTATTTACTTTTTTACTGAATGCTCTTTTCAGTTCTGGGATCCCATCCAGGATACAATTACATTTCATTGGCATGCCTTTCTTGGCTGTGACAGTTGAAAGGGGTTCTTGTTATTTGGGGCATTCCATAAGATTTTATGTAAAGGGAGGCTTGAAAGGAATCCTAGGTTTCTGCAGTGTTGGTGTGGGCACTGGCTGATGTTTCTTTAGCTTCTGCTCATGCTGACAGTGAAATGGAGCTGCTAAGCAAATGAAATCTTTCCTGTTTCCTGCTAAAAGAGTCATAGGTCTAGTGCAGTTAATAATGCAAAGTAAATGTAAACAAGTTTTGCATCTCTAAAGCCTATCTAGATGAGATTACCTAAAAGAGGTTACATTTTAACAAGGCCAGCCAGCCTGCCAGCCAGGCTGATTGATCTCCCAGGGCATCCTCCAATACCTGTCTTTTGTCACAAACCTTTGTGCTTACTGACCGATGTTATCAATGTAAGATGGTTATGTGTAAAAGAAACCCTTTGTCCCTAGACTGGTGCTCAGACCTTACGGGGCTATCCAGTTATGAGACCTCATGCATGAGTAATAAAGCTGCTCCTGACCCCACCATTCCTGAAGTACCGCTTGTTCTTCCCCTGTCTGGGTAAAAGGCTAGAATTTATTTCTGCAACAACAGGTGACTTCCAGGCCTGAGAGCTTTCCTCAGTACGTTTGTTCTTGGCTCCTAATAAAATGTAGTTGTTTCTGCCCCATTCTCTGTAATCTTGATTTTTGTCTCATTCCCCTCTTTGTAACCTATGGGTTTGTGGGGTTTATGGCGCCAGGCCTTTAGGTGAAAGGTTTTTTTTTTGTATCCCAGATCAGTGCTAGAGCTAATTTGAAAGCATTAAGGTGGAATCTTGAATAGGCTGTTTGTTGGGTTGAGTCAGATGGAACTTTTATGCTCAGAAGCAATTCACACGAGTTTAAGTGCTTGCTTGCTGAGTGGTTTTGTGCCAGTCCCAGGTGAGTGGATGAGCCCTGTTCTTTCTTTTTTTTTTTTCTGTGGGATCCTCGCTGCCGGTGGCCGTGGATCGAACTGGCGCTGCAGAGGCTGCAGGCAGCCTTGCAACCCAGCGCTCAACTGCTGCGCCACCAGGGGAGGCCTGGATGAGCCCTGTTTTTATTATGATTGCAGGACACCCTCAGCTATAACTATCAGGAAACTCTGGAAAAAAGATTTCTTATTCTCAGGTTTTGGAAAGCACATGGCACACATGGGACCACATAACTGGAGCCACATAGTGGGGTCACAGTTGATAGAAAACGTGGGCCTACAATTCTGCTTTTAATGGGGTAAAAGTGGGGGGAAACTACTTTTTCATGGCCTCACTTTAAATTAAAAACCTAAGATGGAGACAAAACAAGGGCCCCACATAGTTACGAAACTCAACCTTGAGATTTCTACAACTCAGGAACTTGGGCTGCCCCCCCTACTTGACCTGGCTCTCTACCTAGTCATGTGGCTGGTGATGTGTGTGTGTGTGTGTGTGTATTGGAGCTAGCCATCATTTGAGTGGAGGCTTCTTTGAAGTTAATGCCCTAGCAATCAAAGCTTAAGTCAGGCACTTGCATTACAAAAAGAAAAAGCCAGTTGTGAGGCTTTGTCAAACTTGGTCTGTACTGCTGTTATAGAGCAGCCCCGATATTGAACGGGTTGCCTGGCTGTGGGTCCTCACCCGCGTGCTTACAAGGGACTTATTAATACTCCACTGCAGGCACACACAAAAGGTTAATAAAAGGTTTATTTACAAGGGAAAAGGAAATAAGGAAAATGTACAACTCAGGGAGAAAATAGGGAAATAAAGTCTTTAATGCGTCCTACCCGATCCGCCAACCAGGAAACCCAAAGTCACTCTCCGAGCTGGCCAGACGCTGCTAGCTGGTGGAGAGCCAAAATGGGGGACCCCTCCAAAGCCCACGTGTCTGCCTTTATACCAACTTGGCTGCTTAACCCCACCCTCAGGTCCCAGCCACCTTCCCTTTGGTGGTGATGGAATTTGGAGTTCCCAGTGTCTTTGGCTTTGGCCTGGGGTGGGGGTGGAGTCCACAAAGCCTGTATGGAATTAGCTTTAGGACATCTTTTTCCCCCTAACACTGTGATCACAGATTCTGACCTGGGGGGAAAATATCTTTTCCTAACCAACTGATTCACACTTTTATTAACTAATGTTGCTACTTCATTGGCACCTATTTCATAGTAACCTGTGGGCTAATGGGCTAATGTATTTTTTTCTTTATTCCTGTCATTCTCTTGTATTTTTGTGGTTTAAATTTGAAATTGTCAGTATTTCATAAGTAGAGTACCCATTTGGCCTATAGGATATGTTTACTTAATACATTAAATCCAGTGTTTAAACTTGCCCCAAACTGGAGTTATTTTAATTTGGCTCAGTTGAAAATTGTTAAAATGAGAATTGTTTTATAAGTCAGAGTAGTAGACTCTTAGCCCATCTTACAAGCTAGCCAACAGTCATTTGTGTACACTGCGTCAGTTATCTTAGAAGTTCAGTAAGTGCTGATTGAATGAAGATGGTTGCAACTCTTTAAACCTGTTCGTGGAGACACTGGCACCTAGCAAAGTCTGTGGCAGAGTGGAATATTTTCATTTGGTCTTCCTGTCTGCTAGGACAGGAAAGGCAGCTGGGTGCAGTAGTTAAGAATGTGGACTTCAGAGCAGATCTCCAAGGGTCCATTGTGCCACACAATGTTTAACCTCTTTGTCTCAGTTTTTTCTCTAGGGACTTGGTAATTCCTGCCTGATAGAATTGTGAGGATAGATGTTAAGTGCTTAAAATGGTGGCTGGTTTGTGACTCATCTTGGTTAATGCTCTGTATCCGAGATTAGGGAGGAGGAAGTTAGCCCAAGGACTTTAAATGAAAACCTTGTTCCAAATCAGGTAGGTATACAATGCTTGCCATTTGCTGACAGCTTACTGTGTTCTAGCTGTTGTGCTAAGATTTCTTCTGGTTTGGTTATAAACCACTCTTGTGCTTGTTTGGGATGAATAATTTGGTAATATGTCATTGCTTGATGGTGCATTTCAACATCTGGTTCTACTACTTTTAACTAACTATTGCTATTGACCAATGCCGTTGCACTGGAGATGACTTGGCTTCCAAGAGCATAATGATGTGGTGTGTTTGCTTAGCATTGACACTTTCTAAATTAAGGATATGAGTGCACAGAGTACAAAATAACCCAGAAACAGCAAAATACACAATTCTAGTAGCATAATGCCGGGCAGGAAGCATTGTTTACCTTGACTCAAGGATAGGTTCATGTGGCTAACTCATATACTTAAGAGTTTTCTACTTTAGTATTTGAGCCTCTGCTAGACTGCTCTTTGAGAACAGTGACAACACTTAAAAACAAGTTTTTCAATACCTTCCATTTATTGGGAACTTACTATGTGCTATCTACTGTGCTAGATCCTTTACATACATTTTCTTATAGTCTGGCATCAACTGAACAAGTAAGATAACCTACTTTACAATAATTTTTAAATAATGTAGTTTGCAAATAATGTCAGCAGGGAAGCTCCTGGCTCAGTCTTCTGTATTAAGTTGCCTGTACCAGTGCAACACGTGATAACGTGAGAGACACTGAGTAAATGCTTATTGACTAAAATTCTGTATCAGGTTATGGTCTTGGGGAAGACACAGTCTCTTCTCAAAGAACATAGAGGTAGGACAGACAGAAGAGTAAAGCAGTGATGAGGGCTCAGGGCTGGAAGGGTTATGGTGGAGAGCTGGACCTGGTGCCCAGGGAGTCTGCAGGAGCAGCTCCTGCTTCTCATCGGGGAGGAAGAACAGAAGGTATCCTTTGAATTGGTAGAGTTTGAGCTAAAACTGAAGGATTAGTCAAATCAGGGTATGGTATGCATGCCAGACAGAAAAAAAGAGGAAAAAAAGTGGCATTCTACAGTTAGAGAGAAGGTGTGAGTGATTAGAGTGATTAGGTATAAAATGTCAGAGTTAGCATCCAAATAAGGGATTTGGATGTCAACTGGGCAATTTGAACTTTATATTGGAAACTCTTGGAGGTGGGGAGGTCTTGATAGGTTTAAACAGCAGTTTCTTGGTTAGATTTGTGTTTGGGGAGCATCAGTCTGGAAAGCAGTGCGGCTGGTAGACAGCAGAAAACCACGTGGAAGACATTGTGGTCACTGAGGCCATACTCAAGTTGAGAAAGACCTCGGTGGTTAGAGGTGGTTAGAGAGGAGCTCCGCAGATCTGTGGCTCAGTTGCAGCATCTGGGGAAATTTTCGGGGCGTGTGGGTGCATCGTGGACACTGTCAGAATGTTAGAGGTAGCATATATGAGATATAAAATAGAACCTTGAGCCTCGTAAGTCAAGTGTCTGCCTTGTCATATATTGGGTAAGGTGTCAGTGCCTTGAACCTAGAATCTGAGTGGTTTTCAAGTATAGGAAATAAACTGTTTCATGTTAAAACCAACCCTTCTTATTCCCCTTGAATATATTGTTCCCAAAGATACTTTGGGTCACTTACTGGCTTAATGATTTCTTTGTTCAAGTAGTCATCAGCCATGGTTAAAGTGTGATCAGGTATTCGCCCCTGCACCTTTTACCTCTCTGTCTGTGCAGTCAGATGTTGATCTTGTGTGAGGGTTCCTTAGTACAGTGTGGAGATCACTGTGTGGTCATTCTTAATGGTGACAGATTAACACTCAGGATCTCTGATAAGAATGAGAGTGGGAGTAGTGGTTCTGTTAGGGGGAAAAGGATGTCCCAAAGCAAATTCCATATAGGCTTTGTGGACTCCACCCCCACTCCAGGCCAAAGCCAAAGACACTGGGAACTCCAAATCCCATCACCACCAAAGGGAAGGTGGCTGGGACCTGAGGGTGGGGTTAAGCAGCCAGGTGGATACAAAAGGCAGACACGTGGGCTTTGGGGCTCTCTCCATTTTTGGGCTCTTGGCCAGCAGCAGCGTCTGGTCAGCTCTGAGAGTGACTTTGGGGTTTCCAGGTCGTCGGATCGGGTAGGACGCATTAAAGACTTTATTTCCCTATTTTCTCCCTGAGTTGTACATTTTCCTTATTTCCTTTTCTCTTGTAAATAAACCTTTTATTAACCCTTTTGCATGTGTCTGTAGTAGAGTATTCATAAGTCCCTTTAAAGCGCGCGGGTGAGGACCCACAGCCAGGAACCCGTTTAATATCGGGGATGCTCTATAACAGTTCCTTTTAGCATAGCTGCTTGTAAATTTTCCTATGAAGTAGTATGGGAAAATTTTACCTGAGATTCATCTTTCTCATCCTTGCCCTCAGACATTTTAATTGACAGGTGGCCTTAAGACAGATAACCTGTGTTTCATTTCTATTTTTTCTTTTCCCCCTTTTTATTATTTTATATATTTTTTACATCATTCTTCATTTTTGTGCGATGTTTGCTTTCTCATCTCGGGTGTAGTCCCCATGAAATTCCCACCACCATTTCACCCGTGCACCATCACCCTAGTCCCTTGTGCTTTTCCCACCCCTGTTTTGATCTTTCTCCCTCCTCTCCCTGCAGAATGTCTCTGGTTTATAGTTGCCTGTTGATTTTGTTTTTTTGAGTAAATTCTTTCTAATGGAGCATTTTTGCAAAAGAAGAAATTTTTTAAATGTTTCATTTCTTTTAATAACCTCTCTCTAAGTCAAGATTCCTCAAGGCAAACTTAAAATCATGAGGTTCGTCAGTAGCCTTAGCAAGCTTCCTCCCAGCCAACCCTCCTCTCAGAACAAGAGAAACTGGCTGGTTACTCAGACCTTGTATTTTAGCTATTGGGCAAACAAAGGCAGACAAGCACATAACCTGGGAAATGACTTTCCACAGCTCAGCTTTACTCAAGGGCTGTTCAAATATGTATGTGCTTGGTGGTACTATGACAAAGTGTTCACGATTGGATTTGCTTTTTTATAAACTTTTGAAAACTTGTTTTTTAGGCAACCTCTCGACTTCTTGTAAATTACCCAGAGCCCTTTCGTTCTCAAATATTGGATTATCTCTTTAAGGTAATGGGAAATAATTATTTAATACATCTGTGATATTTTAGAAGCTGTATGGTGAATTTCACCTATTGAATAGTTCATCTTCACAGTTTTAGTTTTGTTAAATAAAATGTCAATTTACTGTTGGGATAAGTTGTTATTTATTTAAATACTGCTTTGGTTTTGGCATCTGTAAGACCAACGGCAGTAATTAGTAATTGTCTGGAAGTGCTCAGTCCTTCGTACAGTGAAGCACAGTGTTAATGCTGTTACTTTTTTCCCCAGCCAAACTTCGGTGCCTCTTTGCATATTCTAAAAGTTGAAATAGGTGGCGATGGGCAGACAACAGGTAGGAGTATTTGGGGATTGGGATTGTTTTCCCCAACATTTTATTTATACCTAAACATAAGTACTGTGATTTTAGAATATAAGTGGTAACAATTTTGATATTATTGCTTACTAGATTATTCTTTATTGTTCCTTTATTCTCAGTAGGTTTCAAAAACTCAATTAAAATATGCAGTTTTCCATCAAAAATAGCATTTGGGCTTTAGATTGCTTATTTAGTGGAAATAATTAACAGTAAACAAATCCATGGTTGTATTAAAACTATATTCATTGCACAGCATAGAAACAGCCTTGAATTTTAATGAGAGGTTAGAAAAAGAAATCTTTTAATGTGAAAATTATGGAAGAGGTCATTAGCATTGAATAAAAGTGGCAAAAATAAGTGATCAATGTTTCAGAGATACTGCTTTTTTTCTTTAAAAATTATTCTTAACCACTTAATTTTTAATCTTCATTATTCCTATTTTGATTGACTTTGTATAGTACAAGTAGCCAATTAAAAGCTCACAGGTCTTCGGTTTCCAAGAAAAGCATCACTGATTACTTATTATATAAGTATAGTCAGATTCCATTACAGTGAACTTTAGATTTGTCTGTATGCCATGTCATGTTTGGAAGTGATGTTTGGTAAATTGAGTTATCTGTGTGGTGGTATTTGCGTTTAATTTCTGTTAAAAGAAAAAAAAAATACCCTTATTTAAAAACGAAAGAAAGCTCGGTAACAAAAACTTTCTCTGGCCTCTTATATAAGAGGATATGTACATTGTCCTAAGACGGTGTGTCTAGAGTACATTTATGTGGAATCGATAACCAATGGCCGTCTTCATTTGCTGAAGCTAACTTAAAGGTAGAGATACAGAAGCTGGTAGCCCTTGTGAATTCTGAGGCTTGCCTTTAAGAATTGGGCCTGGGTTCCTCTCCTGGTGAGACCCTCCTAAGCAAAGGCAGATGTTTGTAAAACATGATCACACACGAGGACTTTGATATCAGTTCTCTACCTTGCAACATCACAGAGGGTTAGTATAGAATTTTTTAGAGTGGGGATGTGTATGCATTCCTTTTTCTCTAAAAACTGTTATCTCAGTATAAAACACATGCTATATAGGTTCAAAGCATGTGGCTTGAGAATTGGGACTTAGGGGCCTGGGATTCACATTTAGAATTTAAAAGCTGGATGCTAAGGTGATCTGAACTTAAAGTTGGACATGGGACTTTACAAACCCAAGAGATATCAACAACCCAACAGAAAGTAGTTCCAATTTTCTGTTATTTGATGTGATAATACTTCTCTTAGTACTGTTTATAATAGTAGGTCATGGTTTTATTATTTAAGACCTTTATGTTAGGGCCATGGAAAAAGATGAAATAATACGCTTTGTTCATCTACCCTGAAGTTTGAGATTGTTCTGATTGCCTCACTTCAGGGTTGGAAGTAGAATACTGCTACTTGTGTGTATACGTGTGGAGGTAAGTGACCTTACAGTCCACCATTAACAGATGCTTTCCTTTCTCTCTTGCTCACTCCCCTTCAGATGGCACTGAGCCCTCCCACATGCATTATGCTTTAGATGAGAATTATTTCCGAGGATATGAGTGGTGGTTAATGAAGGAAGCTAAGAAGCGGAACCCTAATATTACGCTCATGGGTGAGAAGTGAAGTTTGCCATGCTTCTCAGTCTGTTCTCCTTTAGCTTGTAAATTTGGAGTCATGTTTGTTGAGTCTCCAGTAATACTGAGGTACTAATAATACTGTTCCAACTACCTGTAAGCTACCAGCAGCCAAGTATGTGTCAGACAGGATCCTTTCTTTGCTCTTATATATTATATCTGCTCTTTATAGTGCTCTGGAGTAAGAGAATGTGATATTCTTTCCATTTGCAGAGGCGTCAGTGGAGGCTTAGAGAGGTTATTCATCTGACTTTAAGCTCAGATAATTAGTAAACTGCAATGTCAGATTTAGAATCCAATTCCATTCTGGGTTTTATTTGTGATAAACTGCTTTCTTCCACACGATTTCTTACCTAATAAAAGGGCAGTATTACTTATAAAATGTTATATTCCATGTAGTAGTAGATCCCAGCTATTTGCGCAATTGTATATTGCTCAAAGAAGTAGACAGCATTTCTAGAGGAGGCATATACAGAAGTGGTTGCTTTTTACTGTTGTTTTGAACCTCATCTATGTGGCAGGAGGGTCACTGTTTCAGGCACTGGGGACACTGAACAACCCAGCCCCCACTCTGGTTCTCATCATGCTTAGGTCCTAGTGACAGGATCACTGAGTGATTTCTCAAATGAGACTATTTATTCTATACTTCTCCAGCAGCAGCATGCTGGCCTGTGGAGTGTTGCTAACATCCACAGCAGGGCATACTTTCACCATTTGAAATGAATTTGATTTCTTGAAATAGGCTCAAATATTTATTTTTTTTATAAATTTTTTTTAAAGATTTATTTATACAAGAACTGGGATACAGGCCAGATATGTGGGAGGGTGAGAGCATTCACCAGAGACAGAGTGGGGAACAGAACAGGCAGAGTGACGAAATACACTGCTGAGCGGAGCAGTGGGCGAGACAGGAGAGGTCTGCTGCGCCACGTGGGTTGCTCCGAGAGGCCAGCGGGGATTGAACTGGCACTGCAGAGTCATAGCGCTGTGCTTAACCGCCTGCGCCACCAGGGAGGCCCAAGGTTCAAACATTTAGACTAAGTAAGATTAATGATCCATTTTAAAGATTTGATTTCAAGTTGTTTTCAGATTCATTTTTCACAAAGACAAACACGTTTTTCTAAATTAATGAAAGTAAGGATCAATGTATTCCCTCTAAATGGACTCTTGTATGAGATTCCAGAAATGTTTTGAGCAGTAAAAGGCCTCATTGACTTCAGCACATACTTGGCTGTTGGGCAACTTTCAAGGTCAGTCCTCATTTATATGTGGAAAATCTGGCATGCTGAGCCATGTCCTCACGAAGGAGGACACTCAGAATGTATTTGATATTTCCTTGTTTTAAAATGTTCCATTAATTAGGGTCACATTTCTTATGTAGAGACACTTAGGCCTTCCTCCTGAGTTTAGAAAAATAAGCATTTTGTCAGATTAGTTTGATTTTTTTTCAGTGATGAGCTACATTGGTAATATATATGAGCAGTTAAGGAACTTAGCTTTTGAGCTTATTTTAATATAGTAGACACAGAAGTAGGATTTGAGTTGTACTTAGGACTTTTCTATTTTAATTTTGGACTTGAAAATTGGGAGAATTAATTATAAATTAAATAATTATTAAATAAAATCATTGGAAGAATGTGGGTTACTTTATAACATTCAACACAGATGTACTTTCTTATTGAATCATTGGCATGTATATTGATAGGAAGACAAACTAACTTTGTTAAATTTGATTACCTAATTTTTTAAGTAACCTTTAGTTGTAATAAAATGTGCTAATGAATGAGGAGTCAGTATTATTTATTAGGGTAATTGGCATAAGCCTGGCAGCATGCTTTGATTTGACCTCAGACAACAGAATTGAATTATCAAACATCCCTATAGCAAGTGGTGGAGATTTACATTAAATTGTCTTAATTTCGTTCTGTTGCTAAGCATCTTTCAGAGAGGTGGGTTTTTTGTTTTTTGTTTTTTTCTTGGTTGTAGTTTGTTTCTTTTGTTTGTTTTTTCTTCTTGAAAGAACATTTAGAACCTGACTTTAGGGTCGGTGGGGAATCATGGTATACACAGGCTGAGAATTGTGTCTGGTATATAATCTTGCCTTTAGTTTGATCCATATTGACTTTTTGCTTAGCCTGTGTTCTTTTGGCTTACTTTGCTAGTCTCTAACAGTGTCAGCACTTTATACCCCTCCCAGCTCTGCCTCTTCCTTTCTGCAGGGTTACCATGGTCTTTCCCTGGATGGCTGGGGAAAGGTTTCAACTGGCCTTACGTGAATCTTCAGCTGACTGCCTACTATATTGTGACCTGGATTGTGGGTGCCAAGAATTATCATGATTTGGACATTGATTATATTGGGGTTAGTAATATACATAAAGCATGAAAAATTCCTGGAGTTAACTTGTAACTTTTAAAAATAATTTGATTCTGCAGTACTTTGTTGGCTAACATTTTGTACCACGAAAATGATTCATTCTGTTGGTGTCTGATGATAAATTAACTACATGTAACCTTCTAGTCCTCCACTTTGCCCATCTAGTTTCTCCCCACTTTTGAAAACTGTACAAAATGTATATTTCATATTCACTTGCCCTTGCCCTAAACTATTATTTGACACCTTTTAATATTTTAAAAGTGTAAAATATGGTCTGTTGTCTTTCTAGCTGGTCTATTTGTAGGCTGGAGGGGCACCTCAGTCTGCACTGTACCCCACAGAGACTCGCACCCACAGTGTCTCCGTGAACTTCAGCGTCTTAAAAATAGGCCATTTGTGAAAACTGTTTTTTAAAAGTTTTCATAGAATCGGCAAGCAGTTATTTAGTCCAACTGTGTTGTACACACTGTAACATTATTTTCTGGGATAACAAGATTAATGCACTTTTGAGGAGTTCGATAGAAACTGGAGCAGATAAACTGCAGTATCACAGGACGGTATAGGACGTGGTGATGAGTCAGTGGCTGGATGATACCAGAAGCTAGAATGTGGATGTTTTTTGTTATCCTCCAAATTATAATTGAATGTTAGCATGTACTTGAAAACTTTCTTATATGAGGGTATTCTTATACTAGAACTTTATAACGTTAGCATATTTCTAACCCACAGTGAGACCAAATGTAGGTTTATGTTGAATAGCATTCTGTTGTGGTAAAGTCATGCTGAAAATGTTTCATGTAATTAATGGGTGAGTCACATCTCTTTTAGACTTGTGCTAATCACATGCTCCGGTGGAGAACTGATTGATAAGAAATTCTTTCCAGTATCCACTGGAATAGAAAGAGTTACAGCCCTATAGTTACAGTTATCTCAACTGCAAAATCAAGTCATAGAAGTTCTCTTTCAACTCTCAAATTTCATGCTTTCTGGTTCTAAGTTGAAGACAGTTGTGTGCAGGTCTCTTATCTTCATTGAGAGTTTGCTTTTGTGGTGTGGCTCATGGTTGAGAGGCTGTGAGTGCTAGAAGAATTACTTCTGTACAGTGTACTTATCAGTATCTGCTTTTCAGGTGCTTGGGGGATCTTGTGAGACTTAACTACAACAACCCAGGTCTATCTGATCTCCAAGGTCTGGCTAGTTCCCCACACATGTGTCAGTATTTGTTGAAGGATTGAATGAATATTCTGTTTCTAAAAAAACCTCTGGAATAAATGATTGTTAGAAAAGTACCCACGAATTCTTTAAGATTTCTAAAAATTATACATTCATTATAAGTTACACATTCATTAAAATGAATGTATTAATGAATTATACATTCATTAATTTAATTAATTAATTAATTAATACATTAATTTAATGAATTATACATTCATTAAAAGTTATGTTGTCTAATATCTATAAATCCCATAACAGGATGTTCCATAAAGTAAGAAAAATGGCTTTTCAGATGATATGAAAGATGATGAGAGAAATGGCATCTTAAAGATAATGCCAACTTTCTGACACTTAAAAACTTCCAATTCAGACTTCTTGACTTTTTCTTCTGCAGATTTGGAATGAGAGGACATTTGACATCAGTTATATCAAGGTCTGTACAAATTTAAACTATTGCTCTGTAAGTTCTTAGTGAATAATTCCTTTATGGTTCCATGGAAATTAGTGGTCTGACTGCCTTATTTTTTACAGCAAAGTTAATTATTTTGCTAGTTGTGACATAAATTCAAGCAACATCTTAATAATATATTAAACTGTATCTAATTCCTTATAAGTCCTGACTTACCATTTTCTGAAGTCGTGTTAAAATTTGTGGAATTATGATAATCATAAATAGTTATGTGAAAATTAATCTTTGAAGACTTTAGGAAATGTTGCTTTATTCCTTCACTGTCTTTTGTGAAAGCTTCTAGTATGTAGTTTCACCTTCTCCTTTGGCATGTCTGTTATATTGGAGGGTGGTATATGTTTCCACTCATGATCAGCAAGTAGGTAGCAACTACTATTTGCAAGGTGTGTTTTTTTTTAGTCCTTTTTCCTAAATATTTACCTGCATTATTGCCACCTCTTTTATGGGGAAAATACTTTTACTGCTATTTTTCAGAAGGGAAAAATTGAGAACAACTTCTGTCATTGGGAGATAATAGTTTCCCTTTTCAGGTGCATATAGCCCCTTAGTTCACTTTTTTTGTCTCATTTTGTGTCTTATTGCTAAGAAATATAGTTTGTGTTGATATTGTGTTTCATTTAAAATTTTTTTCCTCTAAATTGAGTTTATGTTTTTCAGCAGATATGTGCACTAAATTTCTTTTATTTCTTTACTCATCCATCCAGTCAGCAAACACTTACTGAGTGCCTAGTTTGTTAGGCATTTGTGCACTTGCTTAGCATATGAGTTGTAAAAAGTACTGTTTCTGCCCAAAAGGAGGCCACATTTGGGGTCTCTAGAGGCCATTATGGACAATGAAAATATCAGTCATAATTTCTGTAGCAGAATATCATTTTGCACATGTCAGAAGGCGCAGAGGCACCCTGTGCCAGGGTGTCAGGGAAGACTGTTAGAAGAGGGGCAGGTAGTTAAGAATCTTCAAGACGGATACATGGGAAACCCCAATTCCTAAAGCAGGAGCAGAACACCACAAAGAAGTGAAGATTGAGCAGTGAAGAGATTTGGGGGCAGAGCCAGGGGTGAAAGTGGTGCAAGAAGGGAGGAAAAGTGGGGGCAACTGAGCCAGGATGAGGCTATGTGCCCTGGGGTAATGGCACAGTGGAAGTAGCTGAACGCAACCAGAGCCAGGTAACTCAAAGTCAGCTCCAGCCTGCAGGCTTTGGCAGTAGAGTGGTCAAGAGTGCCGGGGGCAGGGTTGGGTGGCTACAAGAGAGGGACAGTGGAGCCAGTTTGAAGCACAAGGTTTGGTAGTAGAAGTCGTGACTGCCATGAGTGTGGGTCTGCTGAGGGCAGTGAGAGGGCAGAGCAGAGGCCATGCTGTGCAGGTGTGTGGCAAACCCTGTGATCGGGGATGGGGTGCAGGTGTGAGGCACACCCTATGATCAGGGGCGGGGCCACTGCAGGGTCTTAATAGTGGAAAGTCTGAATATTTTATCTGCTGAGTCTTGACATTTCACAGCTTTGTTTTTTTTTTCCTTTCCTTGTGGTTATACTTTAGCCTCTCTAGTTGGCCTCGTTTCATTTGAAGGAGAAATACTAGAATCTGGTTTCCCTTTCCTTTTAAACTTGCAACTAAATGGTTTTATTTTATTCTTTTATAACTAAGTGTCTGATACTGGATTCCACTGTGTTCTAATTTGACTTACTTGGTTTGAAAAACTGATTGCTGTTCTGACTTACAGTATTTTAAGCAGTACCATATACATTTCTTTTTCGCTTGATCTTTAGTTTACCTGCAGTAAAACAGCTCAGGAAATGAAAAGGTCTAGTTTGTATTTGCCATTATTTGTTGCAGCATTTTACTGGAATCTGTATTCTGTTTGCTAAAATGCCTGTTGGAAGAGTTCAGTGATGGGCACATGAATGTAGGTATTTGGGTTTGATAAGTTTAATGACCATATTCCATACAGTAAAGTAAGATGGCCCCTGGAAATAACAAGAATTTATCTTTAATAGTAGAAACGAATACACTACAAGTGAGTGATTTATGTAAAGATGGCAGGGCTGTTGTTTATTTTTGCTGTTTATGCTGTGTTTGTCACTTACTCTGTTTTCAGTGATGTGACTTTTAAATTGTGTATGGAAAATCCCATGTGGGAGCTGAGGGTGGTGCATGGAAATGGGTGTGTGACTCTGGGGGCCCTCACTCACTTCGGCGTTAACAGCCTCCTTTTCATTTATCTTATAAACCAGGTTTCCACCCATGCTTTGTTTTGGGGGGTGGGGATTTCCCCCCAAAGGATTCCACAACAAAATCATTTGAAAATATATTAGATAAAATTTTGCTCAAAGATTACTGAAATTTATACTGATTTTGGGATGGAAACTTATTTATAAAACAGCGAACAGAGGTGAGTACCTGGGAGTGTGATTTGCATAATTCATTATTAAAAAGTAAGCCATCATAGAGGCGATGGTCTAGGAATAGCACTGGGAAACTAAATATGTTCGCAGTGATAAATGAAAATTTGGCGAAGTGGCTGTTCTTCCTCTCTGTAAGAACAGGGATAAGTTTCAGGGTGATGCAACTCAAGATTGGAGGACTGATGTGTGGCCTTCTCGCTGTTCTCTTTGTCCCACTGGAAGGTGTTAAGAAGAATGCTGAACTATCAAGGTCTCTACCAAGTGAAAATCATAGCAAGTGATAATCTCTGGGAGCCCATCTCTGCTTCTATGCTGCTCGACCCCGAGCTCTTTGAGGTGGTGGATGTCATAGGGTAAGGAAGCACGTGTTCACTTCAGAAACTGAAACAGAAGTGGATGTTACCTACCCTACTGCAGATATTCTGTGTCCTAATTATTTTGTTCCCTTGAACTATCAAAGGTTATCAAAGTGTTAGTTTCTTTTTGTTTCTCCTTTCATTCTCATGCAGGTTCTGCTATATGAATGTTGTTGCTGTTTTATTTGGTACCTGAGCATTCAAGTTTCATTTTCCTCATGGTTTGTAACAAAATTACAAAATGTCGTTCTTTCACTCATATGATGATTTCGGATTGAATTTTGCTTTGCATGTGACTAAGCTAGAGACCCACGCTTTCCTTTCATTTGTATTTGTCTGCTATGTCTTTGCTCCTACTTTCAGAGGCATTTTTGTTTTATGTCTCTTGCATATAACATAGATTTTTCTTTTTTAGCTGTTTTAAAAAAGCATATTTTAACGAGTGAGCAAACTCATATTTATTCATGTAACTGAAGGTTTTGTTTTCTGTATTACCTTTTGTTATCTAATGACTTACAATATTATAAAATATACATATCAAAGTCTTTCCTATGTGATTTGTTTCTTTTGCTCTTTTAAAGGACTTGTCTTTTTTGTTCTTTACCAAAGTTTGGTTTTTGGTTCCATTTATTATATTTATATTGACACCTTTAAACCAGTTGTTCTCAGCTGAGAATAATTTTGTCTTCTAGAGGACATTTTACAATGTCAGGAAAAAATGTTATCACTAGTGTAGATGCTACTGGTGTCTGATGGGTGGTGGCTGGGGATGCTTCTAAAGATCCTCCGATGCATAAGATGACTTGCCCACCACAAAGAAAGTCAGTTAAATATCAGCAGTGCTGGGTCTCCCTGGTGGCCTAGAACAACCACATGTTGGCCTAGCACAACCACCACTACAGTCTGCATTCAATCCCCAGCCAGGGAGCTACCCACATGGCACAGCAGACCTCTGCTGTCTTGCCTGCTGCTCCCCTTAGCAGTGTATTTCAGTAGATCTGCCTGTTCTGTCCCGACTCTGTTTCTGGTGAATCCTTTCACCTCTACCTCTTCACCCACCTCCACCACTGGCCTACACCCCAGTCCTTCTATGCAAAGTAAATAAATAAAATCTTAAAAAACACTCAGCAATGCTGAAGTTGAGAAATTGCTTTTTTACTAGTATTTTTAGTTCCCTCTCTATTTAGATATTGTCTGTTAGCTTACTAAATTATTTCACAACCTCATGTTCCTTCCCTTCTTGCTCCTATGATGGAATTTTAATTATCAGAATTTCTTAATCTTTGTAATCTTAGATTAGTTAAAGCTTCTACTCTCTTCATTTGTCAAGTTGTAACCTTAAACTCCCACCAGCTTGCAAACTCAGTTTAGATTTTACTTTCTCCCATCTGCTATTTTGAGTCAACAATATTATACATTTCTAGAACATTTGATATTTAGGTACTGTTTAATTGCTTTCTTTTAGTCTGGCTGCACCACGAAGCATGTTCATGCTCACCTTGAAGTCTACTGCTGGAATTTCTCCTTTAGTATCTTGGGTGTCAGAAGCCTAATATCGACTCTATTTCTCAGAAAGTGCTAAAGTTTATTACTGTTTTCTGTGGCCTTTGTACTTGAAGGACATTTGACACACAGAAATTTCTTTTTTTTTTTTTTTAAAGATTTATTTATTTATGCATACAAGAACCGGGGCACATGCCAGAGGTGCAAGGGTGAGGGTGGGGGTGAGAGGATCCACCAGAGACAGAGTAGGGGACAGAACAGGCAGACTGAAATACACTGCTGAGGGGAGCAGCAGGTGAGACAGGAGAGGTCTGCTGCGCCATGTGAGTAGCTCCCTGGCCAGGGATCGAACTCTTGCTGCAGAGGCTGCAGACAGCTTCACAGTGCTCTGCTCAAACCTTTGCGCCACCAGGGAGGCCTGATACACATAAATTTCTTGTCTATTAATGAGCTCCCTTCCATCCTGCGTGTGTTACAGGTTTACCTCATTTTAAGGACATCCTGAGACACAGGATAGGAACAGATGCTCACAGTGAGGCTGTCATCTAGCTGGACATTGCCCATTATTAAGATGGAAAATCTTGGAGAAGACGTGCGTTTTATTCACTCAACAAGCCACATTCTGACATTTTCCCATTTCTCTCATTCTTTCTTTTTTAGAGCTCATTATCCTGGGACCCGTTCAGTAAAGGATGCGAGGTTGACTAAGAAGAAGCTTTGGTCTTCTGAAGATTTTAGCACTGTAAATAGTGATGTGGGTGCAGGCTGCTGGGGTCGAATATTGAATCAGAATTATATCAATGGCTACATGACTTCGTACGTTACTAAAAATTTCTCAAGGTTTTTATTTTGAAAAATATCAGAAAACACATTAAGTAGAAAAAAGTACACTAAATTTCTCACAACCTAGATTCAATGATTGTAAATAATTTGCTTTATTAGCTTCATCTATACTTAAGCTCTATTTTTCTATCATTTAGTCTGTATTGAATAAAATCACTTATTGAGATTTGATTATTTGATAGTAAAGGCCATCCAGTTCTGTGATTTTTGACAAGCCATACATGTTAATAAATAATTATAGAGTAAATTTCAGACATTATGACCCTTCAATATTTTACCATAAGGCCCCATAGTCTAGGATAGAGTCCTTCCTCATTTCTTATGACTGTGACCTTTTTGAAAAGACCAGGCAAGTTGTCTTTTGGATGGTTCACTTCTCAGTCTGCCTGACTGCTGTGTCATATCATCACTTAATTTGTATGTGATTGTCTGTTTACCAAACAGAGTTTCTTAAGGGAGAATGTAACTCTTTTTATTTCCCAAGGAAGCATTTCTTAAATGCTTTGAGGAGCTCTAATTGTAATTAGATTCAAATTAGTTTTCTGAAACAATGGTAAATAGAACAAAGCAAGGCAGCACATGCTTTTGTGATGTTAATGAGAGCCAAATACTTTTTTACATCTCTTGTTTTTTTTCTTCCTTGTTTTGGAAAGAAAAGATACATCTCCAAGGAGTTTTGTTCTAATAACTTAATTGGGTATTAAGAAAGATGCATATAATTTAGTAAGTGTATATAAGTGTATATAATTTAGTAAGTGTATATAAGTACAAAGATGGCAACAAAATCACCCATAATCTTACCATCCAGGAGTAAAGGTCCTTAGTACTTTTGATAAATGGCCTCCCGTTCATTTTATATGTATAAAATTTTAGTACAGAATTGACACTAAACTATATAATGTGTAGCACATGAGCTGCTTTCCATTCATTTTTAATTTTTATTTTTAAAGATTATTTATGCATACAAGAGTTTGGGTGCAGGCCAGAGGTGCAGGGGGTGATTGAGAGGATTCACCAGAGACAGAGTGGGGAATAGAGCAGGTGGATCTACTGAAACACACTGCTGAGGGGAGTAGCCTGCCAGACTGGAGAGGTCTGATGCGCCATGTGGGCTGTTCCCTAGGGATTAAACTCTGCTGCAGAGGCTGCCCATTGCTTCATAGTGCGGTGCTTAACCCCTTGCACCAATAGGGAGGCCCCTGCTTTCCATTTAACATTATGAACTTTTTCTCAAATTTACTTTTACTACATTATTTTTAATTCTTCTGTATATTCTGTTACATAAAACAGAATTGCCCAGATTTGCCTTGTCCTAAGCACCTATTACACTGATTCCATATTGCTGCCCAGACTTACTTGGTTGAGGATCCCTCAGGAAGGGAAGGCTTCTGACCTCTGTCTGTCTAGTCAGTGCCCTGCTGGTTCTGAGGCCATGCAAGTGGAGGAAACACTCGTGGTGAAACATAGTCCACCTCTTTGGATGCTTTCTTCTTCCTAGAAGTGAAAGTTGTGTCTATTTTAATGATAACTTTAAACAAACTAAAATGATCAATTGTATTTTGATCATTTAAGCATTTATGATTAAATGATCAACCTTTAAGCATTTACAATTATTCCTTAGGGTGTACTCTTAGAAATGGACTATCTGGGTTTAGTTTAAAGGCTTGGATATGCTCTAGAATGCTCTCCAGAGAGTTCATCCCAATTTTTACTTCTATCATTAGCCAGAAAAGACATCAGGCATCTTCCAATCCATGGGTATAATCATGAAATTTAACACTTTCACCAGTAGTAAGGGAGGATTAGGATTTTTGGAATTGAAACTGCTTTGTGTTGACAGAAATGGAGGCTTTCATTAAGACTGTCAGTCTCATTTTATAATGGATGAGGACTTGATAAGAGAAATTCGTGGGTAAATTCTGTTTTTGTGTTTTTTTTTTTTTTTTTTTTTTTTTTTTGTTGTTGTTGTTGTTGTTGTGAGGAGCCCAGCAATACCAGGGTACCAGTACCACAACTTTTGCTTTGCCCTGGGATTTTTCTTGAGAACTCCAATCTTAGTGTGGTAATCTTAGGGTTCAGTACCATCTGAAAGAAGGGACCAAAATATAGAGCAGCAAGTTGATCCAGTTAGTACTTGTAGAAGAAGCAGAATCTTAGCAGCATGACAGCCCAGACTTATTCTGTACTCTTCATACATGTCAGCACACTTCATCCTCACAACCATCACATGAGCAGGGTACAATAATTACCCTCATTTTACAGATGCAGAAACTGAGGTCCTGATAGGTTCCGTGGTTGAGCCATGATTTGAACCCAGGCTGTCTGAGGCGAAGAGTTCTCAGTTGTAAAGCTTTGCAGTAGCTTAGAGGCCAGTTCATAAAGTTGTGCAATCAAACTGGCACATTAAGAAGCCTGACTGTCAGAGGAAAGCAGGTATGGATAGAGCCTTAATTTGACTTCACTCAACTTTATGATGTCTGGTACTGGTAGGGCATGATTTGCTTGGTCTCCTGGCTACACCATTTTTTAGTAGAAATACCTTTTTATTTCTTTGCTATGTAACTCACCATTAAAAACATTTAGATGCATCCAACCCCAGAATTTTCAAAATTATGAGTGAATTTAGGCAACTTATATTTTCTTGTTTTGGGTGGTCATTGGCATAGATGTATATGAACTCTGACAAGGTCTTTTTATTCCAGGTTTCTATATATTTATATTTTTATAACAAGCGGTTTTTGGTGTTTCTCTTTTCTCAAACAATCTTGTAGCACGATTGCTTGGAATTTGGTGGCTAGTTACTACGAACAGCTGCCCTATGGGCGATGTGGACTGATGACCGCCCAGGAGCCGTGGAGCGGGCACTACGTGGTGGAGTCTCCCATCTGGGTATCAGGTATGGCTCCAATTCCATCTCTTACTCCCTAAATTCCTCTCTCAGAGACAAGGCAGAAAATACGTAAAGGGAATTACACAAACCGTGTGTGCGTGCCCTTGTGCATGTATGTGTGTTCCTAAATTTTAAGTATTTTAATTTTAATTTTAAATCTTTTTGAAGCAAGAGTTGCCATAAGTATTTTTGTAAGAATCTCTTCAGTTGACTAGAGTACTTTCTGTATTCCATTCTTCATTATTTTGAGATCAGACTCTTCTAAAAGAAAGGGAAAAGGGGGAGAGAAAAGGATTGCTGTCTGGAGGCAGAAACAAATTAAATATTAGTATTTAAATAATTACATATTATAATACTTTATTTTATGCTAATAAAATTTAATTATGCTAATTAAAATTAGTGTGAGAGACATTATATACTTTTACATTCATATCAGTTTTATTGCTTATAGAATAATGTGCTGAAAATCAAAAGTAGATGATTAACAGATTTTAGGTGATTAATAAATGTATTCATTGAGTTTTTAAATGGATAAGTAAATGTAAAAGTTATATGAAATATCATAGGTTCTCCTCTATATCTATTGATGAGTGTTGTTAAAGATAATTTGAAAAAAGATAAAACCATGACTATCATACACAAAAAACGATGAGCCCATTAAAGATTGTATGTTACTCATCTTTTGGGAGGAGGGAAAATGTCTCCCTACCCCTCTGAGTTTTTGAACTGGTTGGATAATCAAATTAACATCAGATAGATTTGGAGGAAAAAACAAAATTGAATAAATACCTTTGTGGAATTGACAGAAATAAGGATTCCAAAGCCAGTGGCAAAATGGAGATGTATATCTAAAGAATGGGGTAGAAATGAGAGGGATCACAGGACAAGAAGCAGGTGACTCATGATCAAGTGCTCTGTAATGACATGTTTTTCCTGCTATGTAGATAGGTTTCTCTGGTAGGACAATTATTTTCGGTAACAATCCTAATTCTTGGTAAGACCCCAGTTTTCATTCCAGAATGAATGTTAATTAGATAGTTAAGAGAATGATAAAGTTTCTCATGAGCCTGCAGGACCTCAATTGACCTTAGCTCAAATAATCCACATGCCAAAGTGACACATCTTGGGGTGATCTGTCCTTCAATAGGAAGTGGCAAGGCAGATGTACCAATCAATTCAAAGGAAAAGTCAGGATTCGAGTACAGATTTATTTGGAGTAAGGCAATTTGAGGTAATTCGCAAATGGAGACAGACTGGGTTTACCACAGCAGGGAAAAGAGGAAATCATTGAAATTCTTACCACACAGACATAATTTGCATATCTGTCAGTTACCAAAAACTTATAAAGAGTTACAAAATAGTTTGAAGGTGATGAAGGATGTGTGTGGGATGCCTTCCTTTTCTTGGAATCACTAGACTTTTCTTTCTTTACAGTATCATTCATCTGTCACAAGGGATGTTGATGGTTGATACCACTTTTCATGAAGTGGTGTGACCACACTAATAATAGTTTTTTTGTTTTTTTTTTAAGATTTATTTATTTATTTATACAAACACTGGGTACAGTCAGAAGCGTGGGAGGGTGAGAGAATTCACAAGATCCAGAGTGGGGAGCAGAGCAGGCAGACAGACAGAAGACACTGCTGAGGGGAGCAGCAGGCGCTGCCGGAGAGGTCTTCGCGCCATGTGAGATCCTCGCCGGTGGCCAGGGATCGAACTGGCACTGCAGAGGCTGCGGGCAGCTTTGCAGCCCAGCGCTCAACCACTGCGCCACTGGGGAGGCCCACTAATAATAGTTTGAAGGTGATGAACAGATATGTGGGCAAGTGTGTGGGCAATGCCTTCCTTTCCTCGTAAACACTAGACTTTTTTTTTTTTCACGGTATCATTCATCTGTCACAAGGGATGTTGATGGTTGATACCACTTTTCATTAAGTGGTGTGACCACACTAATAATATAATTAAATAAAAAAATCCATTTGGTGAATATTTGACTTCTTTCTACAATTTTGTTTTGCTAAAATATATATGACCATTTTGTTTTAACATCGTAACTGCTATCTTAAAAAATTGATTTCTTCTAAAGTATGCTTTCATAGGAAAACTGTAAATTGAAAGTGACTTCATTTTGACTTTAAACCTTCATATTGGTGATTTTCATTTTTAATTGTGGTGTTTTTATCAGATTTGTAGTTACGATATTAGCTCTATAATCATGACATTATTCTAAATTCCTTAATTTGTTTTTCTGAAAGCATGGAAAAGTTAATTTGGACGTGTATGTCCTTATTGTTTAACCCCTTAAGTGTTGAAATTGTTGGACCCACATTATCTAAATGAACTAAAGTGCTCTTTAAATTTTGTCACTGTTTTTTTGGAAGATGGTCGACTGGGGAACCTGGAATATTGCTCAAGACATTTTCAGGACCAGCTGTAGAGGGGGCCAATAGGTATCTATTGTGGAAGTAAACTTTTTTGAAGCCATAAAGATGCACTTTTGAAATCCCTTATGATGTTTTAACCTTATTTTTTATAGTTATGTTAGATTTAATTAAATAGAAATGAACAAAGGTTGAGAGGGGATAATTTTATATATTCTCGGGAAAAATAAAGATTTTGTATTTATGAGCTTACAGTGTGCTCCATTTATTTTAATAGGTATTCTAAGTTTCGCAGTAATACCATTTAACTAGACTAATTTTTCAAAAGTTGAAACATGGGATTTTCCTCTGAAATAGAAAGTAGTTTGTTAAACTCCATCATACTCAAATCAGTAGACAATTTTTTTTAAAGAAAGCCTGTTATCACCATTTTAATCTTATTTTATTCTGTTTTTTTTTTTTAATAGCTCATACTACTCAGTTTACTCAACCAGGTTGGTATTACCTGAAAACAGTTGGCCATTTAGAGAAAGGAGGAAGCTATGTAGCTCTGACTGATGGCTTAGGTAACCTCACCATCATCATTGAAACTATGGTAAATCTTTGTTGTTTTATTGGGTAACTCACTTTGTCAGCATTGGGAGAAAGCATGAAATACAACAGAACATTTTTTTTTTAACTAGCTTTCCTGAAATATAATTGACATATAGTAAGTAACACATATGGGATGAGGAAACAGTTTTCTATACTCTCTTGGATTCAGCACATGGGATCCTACAAATTAAATTGACAGAAGACAGATTAACAGGAGAAAAAGAAAAGAGTTGAGTTGTACAAATGTATGTGGATGCAATTCAGTGATGAGTAGTAAGTACCTCAAAGGGGTAGTTAGAATCTGCGTTTTATACCCAGTTTAGGAAAACGTTTCTTTTTATTATTAAAAAGAATTTATGAAGGATTATATACATTTTTAAATGTTTAGTAGAAGTCATCAGGGAGACCATCAAGGTCTGGGATTTTCCTTTAAAAAAGTTTCAGTTTATTGATTCAATCTCTTGCTTTAGATCTACTCAGATTTTGACACTTTTGTTGGTGGTTTGTGTTTTTCTGAATTCATCTATTTTATCTATGTTAGCTAATTTGTTTGCATACAATTGTTCATAGTCGTTTAATTTTTCAAAGAAACAGATTTTTGTTGATTTTCTCTATTTCAATAATTTCCTCTCTAAAATTTATTTTCTTTCTCTCTTTCCTTTGGCTTTATGTTATAATTAAAACATTAATTTCTTAAAAAGTAAAATATTAGTTTATTTCTTTTTAATACAGGCATTCATTGCTATGAATTGCTTGTAAGCAGTATGCATGTTTAAGGAGTATATTGTTTTTTATTTACGAGTTTTCCTAGTTTTTTGTTATTTTTAATTTCCATTATGATTGGAGATATATTTGGTATAATTTCATTCCTTTCAATTTTATTACTGTTTATTTCATTACTTCACACATGAACTATCCTGGAGAATGTTCTGTGCATCCTTGAGAAGAATGTATGTTCTGTAATTCTTGGGAAGAGTGTTATTCTACAGATGTTAGGTATAGTTGCCTAATAGTGTTATTCAATTCTGCTATTGTTGTATTTTTCATAGTGGTTACTTGAAATCTTCAGCTATTGTTAGCAAATTATTTATTCTCTTTCCCTAATTCTGTTAGTTTTATTTTATGAAAGCCCTCTCTGCTATCAACAAATTCTCTTAGCTTTTTTTAAAATCTGGAAATGCCTTTATTTTACCTTCATTTTTATAAAGATAATTTTGCTGAATAGAAAATTTTTGGTTGACAGTTTTTGCTTGGAGCACTTTGAATGTGTTATCTTTCATTTTTGTGGTGATAAATCAACTATCAGTATTGAAGTTTCCTTGTAAGTGATATTGTCTGCTTAATGACAAATTGTGATCATAACTTCCTTTACTTATGTAAACCATGTTTCCTTTAATTCTTTGAACATATATTATATTGGCTACTCAGATTTGGTCTGTCCCACATGCAGTTTCTGTTGTCTTTGTATTTGGATCATACTTCCCTGTTTCTTGGAATGTCTCATAATTTTGTGTTCAGAGCTAGACCTTTTATATAATGTAGCAACTGTGGGGACTGTTTCCCTCCTCCCTTGATGTTTGGTGTTGTTTCTTGCTTGTTCATTTAATGATGGGTGGGAGTATTTAGTCATGTTTATTCCCCCTGCACTGTAAAGCCCTAGATATTGCTGCTAGTGCTGAGGTCTGGGGCTTGTGTACAATCACACTGGGAGGACAGTGTTTTCCCAGGACCCTCTTTGTTCCTTTCCTTTATCACACCTGTCTGTTAATTGCTGGTTAATCACACCTCTTTGTTAATTGCTTCATTAATTGTTGGTGGATTACTCTTATTTTTGTCAATAATGCTCTGGGGCTTAAATTGCTCCCCAAACTGATTCAATTTAATTCTAGTTGACTTGCAGACTTGGCTTTGAAGTTAGTGTCTTTCTTGTCTTTTTGAGTTTTTCTTAACTGAATTCTCCTTTGAACTCCTGCTGACTATTGTTTTGATGTGTTCTTCTTTTCCTGGTGTCTTAATATGGAAGCTGAAGTCTCAGATCCTTTCTTCATTCCGAATTTAGTTGTTTAGTACTGTAAACTTTCTCCTAAGTATTGCTCTAGTGGTATTCTCCAACGCCTAATACTTTGTGTTTTATTTTAATACAGCACAAAATTCTTTCTGACTTCCCTTTTTATTTTTTCTTTGAGTCATGGATTATTTGAAATTTGTTATTTAGTTTTTACTTTTTTGGGAGTTTTCCAGAGGTTTTTCTGTTATTTTTAAAATTTAATTCTGGTGTGATCAGAGACAATGGTTTGTATGACTTTAATCTTTTTGACTATTGAGACTTTTATTATGGTTCAGAATGCCTTGATAAATGTTCCTTCTGCACTTCAAAGAATATGTATTCTGCTGTCATGGGATGAAGTTTTCTGTAGATGCTAATCGAGGTCATGTACTTGGTAATTCAAAGTTCCAATCACCTTATCCTTGTTGATTTTCTGTCTAGTTGTGTATTAATTACTGAGGGTAAAATACTGACATTTCAATTATAATAGTAATTTCATTACTGTTCATGATGCCTGGTCCAGAACCTTGTCCTGTTAAGTGCTCTGTGATTGTTGAATTACCTAGGGATTATGTCTTATTCTCATTTTCCCAACCCCTATTACAGATACACATAGGAGATAGTGCAGGTTCTATTCCAGACCACCACAATAAAGTGAATATTGAGATAAAGCAGGTTACACAAAATTTTTTCTCAATGCATGTGAAAGTTGTGTTTATACTAGTCTTTTACTTGCATTATGTCTAAAAAAAAACAATGTACTGTAATCAAATGTGACACAGACACGAAGTGAGCACATGCCATTGGAAAAATGGCACCAATGGGCATGTTTGAACTGATATTTCCGCAAACCTTCAATTTGTAAGCTCACTATCTGTGATGCATAATACTAATGAGGTTTGCCTGCAGTGATTAGTAGGAAATGATGTTGGCAGTATGAAAACTATTTGTTATAAGTATTTAGCTGACTTCAGTTGTGTATTTGAGGATTATATTTAGATGAATGTCTTTTCAGTGAAAACATGTTTCACTTTTATGATACATTTTATTTGGAAAATAGTTTTAAAAGCTAAACTATATGTGCTATAAAGTGACTAGAGTTTATGAATTCAGTTTGATTCAGTTGATCATAGTTATTGAGTTTTTCTTTGACCATACAGAGTAGATATTTAATAAATGTAAGATCAGAAAAAAAGTTTTAAAATTTTGAAATAAACTCATGTTTTTCACCCAGTGCATGCCATTTCTATTAATCTTGGGATGTTGAATGTTTAATTTTTCTTAAGGTGCTTTGTACATCACTTGGGTAACTTCATGTGATTTTTTTTTTTTCCCTTCAGAGCCATAAACACTCTATGTGTATACGGCCTTATCTTCCTTATTTCAATGTGTCACAACAATTGGCTACCTTTGTTCTCCAAGGTTCTTTTGTAAGTAAATAATATGGACTTTTATTTTGGTTTTTGATTTAAGAATTTATTTTTTCATGAAGCAGCAGTTTTTTTTTTTTAAGATTTATTTTATTTATTTATGCATACAAGAGCGGGGGTGTGGGCCAGAGGTTTGGGGAGGGAGGGAATTCACCAGAGGCAAAGCAGTGAGCAGAACAGGGAGATCTACTGAAATACACTGCTGAGGGGAGCAGCGGGCAAGACAGGAGAGGTCTGCTGCGCCTTGTGGGTCAGCTCCTTGGCCTGGGATGGACTCTTGCTGCAGTGGCTGCTGACAGTTTGATAGTGCTGGGGCTTAATCCCTTGCGCCACCAGGAGGCCTCAGAAGCAGCAGTTCTTAAGTGAAGTCTTATCTTATGAACTATTAAAAGTTTATGTGTGAATGGACAAATGTTCTGGTATCTTCTGTCTCCTGACTGGTTTCAGTCAAACAAAACAGAAGCCAGTAGGAGGTAATGTTCTCTGTGATTTTTGAGGACCACTAATAAAATTCACTTGTAAGAAAGTTGTTACTGGTGGAAACATCAGTTTTGTGGTCTAGGTGTCTTGGAAGCACTGACCTTTCTGAATTTAAAAAAAAAAAAAGGGGATTCTTGCTTCTTCCCTGTTGTTATATTTGAGAACAGAAAATGCAGTGCCTTTTCTGACTACGAATTGCAAATGAATTGGTTTGCAATACTAGAAAATTTTTAAAAATCTTTACACAAGTACAAAAGAGTATTTTTGAAACAAAGGCTCTAAAATCTTTTTTAACATTTGCCACGAATCTATGGTATTTTTAGGAAATAAAGTATTTGCTTGAATAATATCTTTCTACTTTAAAAATGTTACCATTTAAAATTTGGGTCCTTCGGTAACTAGACAAAGAGTGCCAGTTGTCATTGGTTCATTCTTGCTGGTACTGACTTTAGAAATTCTCAGCGAGAATGTGATAAATTACTCATCTAAGCTTTTTTTGTGTGTTTTCAGAGTGAAATACCAGAGCTACAGGTGTGGTATACAAAACTTGGAATACCATCTAAGGACTTTCTATTTAAACAGCTGGAATCTATATGGGTAGTATTAAAATAAATTCTTATATTTTGAGTATTGCAACAGGAAAAGGGAACAGGACTTTAATTAATGAATTATGCATTTTTCAATTTTGTAATTGATTTTATGGCTGAAGTATAGAAGAGGTAAATTTGTCCCCAACTGTTTTTTTCTTTTTTTGCTAATGCAAATCCACTGCAAGGCAGTATGGGAGTTTGTGTGTTTGCTCTCAGGTATTTAGTTTTCCTTGAGGAAGGGCACCACCATTACTTGGCTCCCCAAGTCAGAAATTTGGTCTCATTTGAGACTATCTTTCCCATTCACCAGAGAGCAAACACAAACAAACTATCATGCACATAATTTTTGTACCCATTCCTTATTTTCCATTCTACTGCTACTGCTTCTTTCAGTCATGCAAGTAGACCTCTTAGTTGCATGTATGGAGTCCACACAAGCTTTAAGAAACTTACAGTCAAATGAAAAAGAATAGACTAATAGAAACAAACTGGGGATCACCTAGTTCTCCTCTTTATGTAGTGAATTTTAAAAATTCTTCCTATAAATTGTAATTTTGTAAGTCTTCTAAATCTTAGATTCTGTGGGCCTCGATGTCGGGTGCCCTTTGCAAGTGTTCTGTTTGGGCGTTCTAACAGATATGAGTTTGACTTAGCTTTAAGCTCACTTTTTAAAAAGCTGTTTTGCCCAAAGGAGATGAACCGAAGCCCCTGGCTTGAGTACAGTGTTGCCTCCCTTTTCAGCCCCTCGACACCAACGGCAACTTCACCCTGGAGCTCCAGGAGGACGAGCTGTTCACGCTCACCACCGTCACCACCGGGAACAAGGGCAGCTACCCACTTCCTCCAGAATCCAGGCCCTTCCCACGAATCTATGAGGAAGACTTTGACGTTGGTAAGTTCTTTTCACTTAAGCTTACCTTGGTTTCCATCTCTAGCGGCAGCGAGCAGATTTCTGCGGTCAAACAGCACATGGCAGAGTGGCTGGGCAAAGCACGTTTGTGTGAATTTCTACATGGTGACGGTGACTTATTTTGTGTTACGACAGGAAAGTCTCAACTTGAAGACCCTGTGTTTTTTTTTACTGCCAGCAAAAACATTGAGGTCGCTGTCAGAGTGAAAGTTCTAACTTTTTGGGGTAACTTTAGATTTGTAGACTGCCTCCGTCCTTTAGCCATTTCTCCCAAAGGTCATTTCTGACAGCTTTTTTTAGTGAGGAGGGGAAGGCATGTTAATATCTCTTTCTACAGCCCCTGGGGACTGAGGGTAAATGGGGAGTTACCTTGTCCATGGGTCAGTCTACCCATTACACACCCTCTAACTGGGCCTGGGAGTTTTAAATTTGAGTGCTCCTGGTTTTCTAGGAAGATCTGTCCTACAGTCATTATAATTTAGGGAAATTATATTTAGAAGACATGGTCTTTGTGGTCATGTTCCTAGATTGCTCGGTAAGTGACAACACGGGTCTAATAGACGTCCTTGGAGAGGATAGCGGCCCTCACAGACCAGTCAGGCGTCTCTGCTTCCTGCTTCTAAAACCCATAGCTGTGAAAGAGAAGACAGGAGACTGCTCCGTGAGAGAGCAACCAGAGCCACCTGCTACTGCAGGTCTACTCTTCACTATGGACGACCCCCAAGTACCCCAGGCCCCCACCCCCCCAGGGGCTCGGTGTCTTTCCCCAGGAAGTGATCTCCTGCTTGATCAGCATTCAAGACCCTTTGGACTGGATTCTGTCATCCTCGCAACTATTTGGAAATCACGGACAGCTGTGACTGTCAGGGGAGCTTGGTGTTTAGTTTTCCTGTAGCTCTCTGAAAAGCTGCATTAGATGCATCTGGATTTAGATGCATCCAAATTAATTTTGCCCACCACAAGCATGTTAACAATCTGTTGCTCAGCTATCTGTTGGCAAAGGTCGCTTTTCTTGACTGAGTAGGTGAGGAGTCTGTGTGGGAGAGGGCCTAGTTCATGAGACTGAAAGACACAACAACCCCAGGACTCTCTGTCCTGGGATCATGAAGGCAGAAAGGCGGTTCTAGACCTTTTAAATCTAAAATGATTTATTGACTACAAAATAAACTAAAAACTAAGTAAAAAAACTGTAGACTAACCTTTAGAACTACTTTATTGGGGTTTTTAATATTTCGAATGATGTCATGAATGTGGAAACATTTTAAAAAGCATGAAGTATGATATTGTGGTAAGATATTGTGGTGAAAATGGCTCCTCTATGGGCTTCATCACTTAATGAAACTAAAAAGAGGTTGATAGATAGCTTGGGTCAAAACTGGCTTTTGCCCCTTGTTGGAAACAGAAGCAAGTTTGTCACTGGAAACTGCCTGATATAGTAAGCCTCCCAGCTGATGACTGTAACCAGTGATTCGGAATCTCATTGAACAGATACAGTCAAATAACCAAACTGTGTGTTATTTGGCCCTGGCTGGGTGCTGGCTTATGTCATTTTATCTGCCTTCTTTAATTTATTCCCTTGTCCTCTCGCCCACTTAGAGATGCAGACACTCAAGACACAGGACAGTTAACGTGTCCAAGGGGACAGGCTAAGCCAGAATTTGAATCCACATCTGCCTTCCTCCCAAATTCACATTCTCTGCTCAGTCTGTATAACTGATCATATTGATATTTATTTAATGATGATTTAAAAGTCAGCATTTCTTTATTAGACCTATATCCTAAACTTTGGTGTTTCCAAATACACCATAAAATATCAGAAAGAAGAGTCTATAAGGATTTGATGCTAAACAGAGAATGTAATGTGTTCTTGAACAGAGTACCCATTTTTTAGCGAAGCCCCGAATTTTGCCGATCAGACTGGAGTATTTGAATACTTTGTGAACATTGAAGACCCCGGAGAACATCGCTTCACACTCCGCCAGGTTCTCAATCAGCGGCCCATCACCTGGGCTGCAGACGCGTACAACACCATCAGTGTCATAGGGGATTACAAGTGGTAAGTACAGTGCTGTCCTTGGTGCCCTGGGTGAATAAGCTGGTCATGCTATAATGCTGTCTGGTCTGTTTGGAAGTGAAGACTTTTCAGTGGTCCTCCTTGCCCAGGAATCTGAGAGGTGTGTGATAATTGTTGAGAGTCGTAGTCACAAATTGTTTTGCTGCCTCAGTGTCCTGTCCTCAGATTTGTTCAATTTAATAGTGATTATTGCAGGAGAAGATTGACTTTAATATAAAAATTAAGGGCTTTCAAATTCAATTGTAATTTAATATTTATTTATGAGCACACTGATTTGCATTTCATTTTCAGAATTTTCCTTTGCCGGAGATTGAATGGATTTGTTGATCTGGTACTGCCACCTGCTGGATCCATACTAAAATTGCACTTCCTTACAGCCTTTGTGGAAAATCTGTTTACCTGGTGACAGTAGGTGGCGGTAGTAAAAAGCACATCAGATTTAGTTGACGAGCAAATTCAACTCTTTTCTTTATGCATTTGGTAAAGAGACAAATTGTACTTATTCTTTACTTGAGATATAATGATAAATTTTACTTTCTCCTTTAAGCCATTATGGAATTCCAGTGTATTGACTTCATAAACCTGATGTAGGTGTTTCTTTGCAATTTTTCCTTTTAGCTAATGTAATTCCACTAAAACCTAATACACAGGCAATACAAGCTTAGTGATGGTAACTGTTAGTGGCAAGTAACCAAACAGCCATATCTGTAGCTTAGAAATTGGACAGAGAAGAAAAATAGTTCAGAAAAGAGCCTTGGATTGTTTATCAGAGGAATGTTGCAGGGAGTCTTCTGTATTTTCTTACTCCCTATTATGAATTACAGTGCTAGTCCCAGACTCTGACAGAAGATTTGAGAAGCTTTCATTTGTATAGAATCGGTGGATACCACAGAAAGTTTCAGAAGTAGAGTGAATTGCCTTACTTAGGATCGCTTTGCTGGCCTTCATTTATACACAACAGAAATGCCATTTATTCCCCCATCTCTGTAGTAAACACTTCACCTGGATTTTCTGATCGTGTGGTCGTCGGGGTTGTGATTTCAAATCCTCACCTGTTACTAATGATCAATAGATAAGACAGGTGCCTGCGTAGAAGTTTCCAGGGAATGGGCTCCATTATTTTGACCACCAGTTTGCAAGTCAGACTCCATAGAACACCTTTCATTTTCTGTCACTTCTTCTGTCCCCCATGATCATGGAGTTTTTCTCTTATTTCTGGCTGGAACCCTAAGAACATTGAGAGGCTCTGTAAGTGCAGCAGAGAGATGAGCTAGAACTCCATCCAAGGACTAACCAAAGCTCTTCATAACCTTGAAGACTGTAACTCAGTCTTTACCAGGGTCTGTTGCAATGGGCAATGGGTAGGGAAGCAGAGGCTAGAGGGAAGGGGGGTGGGTGGAGAGAACAACACATTCTGAAAGAAAAAACCAGGGACTAGCAGTTCCACACATCAAGAAGGGGACTGTCATCTTCCTGAGCCTTCCTTGGATATGTTATTCCATTGCTTAGGCGTCTATAGCCACTTTCCTGCTACTGAATCAGATATGCCCTTTTATCTTGGAAATCTGGTCTTGTCCTATTTATTGTGTGTTATTTCCCAATATTTCATCCTGTGTAGGAGGGAGCCAGGTCTGTTCAGAGAGCCACACATATCCCATGTTTTTTTTCTGTTCTTTGCAGAAGTAACAGCCTCTGTACCACCAATACTGGGAAATAGAATAGACTTGGGGAGAAAATTTGCCTAAGATCTGATTCCTGTGAATGCCTGAACCAGAATGAGAGGCCTGGTCTGCCTCGCGCTGTGGCACTGCCATTCTTTGGCTTGTACCTCACAGCCTTGTTTTAATTACTGTCTTTCTCATAGAGTAGAGAAGGAGAAAGTAGTGTAGTTTCTGTGATGCGGTTTTAGTATGTTTTTTTTAAGGCAGTTTATTTTATTTTATTTTTTAAAAGATTTATTTATTTATGCATACAAGAACTGGGGCACAGGCCAGAGATGTGGGGGGTGAGAGGATTCACCAGAGACAGAGACAGGGGAACAGAACAGGCAGACCGACTGAAATACACTGCTGAGGGGAGCAGCGGGCGAGACAGGAGAGGTCTGCTTCACCATGTGGGTTTCTATCTGGCAGGCAGGGGATCAAACTTGTGCTGCAGAGGCTGCAGATTGCTTCATAGTGTGGTACTTAACCCCTTGTGCCACCAGGGAGGCCCTGTTTTAGTATTTTTGCTCTTGATTTGTACACATCTCCATCAGTTTCTAGAAGTGTATTTGCCATAGACCTTCTCTCATACTTGGATTTAAGTACCAGCACAGTAATTTGACTGCAAAAGGAAAATTTTACCAAAGTTAAGTAATACTTCCCTTCTTGCCAGTAAATTTTGCTTAGGATCTGAAGACAATCACAAAAGTACCTTTTGCTGCATACATCTCAACCTGCATTCCTTCTGACCCAATTTTCTTACATTGTTTTTCATTCTCTTAGCAAGAGGTTGTGGCTGTGGAATACTAAACCACACTTTTATTCTATTTCAATTATTATCTGTAAGCCTGCAAGTGCTGATGCAGGAATCACATATTTAGGCATGTGAAGTAAAATAAAGGGAAAAATATTATTTTCTCTACTCTGAATCTAACAAATTTACAGCGCTGACAGGACCTGGAGCCCTTTCAAATTTCAGATGAGCCAGAAACTAGGCAGGGGATGTAAGGAATTGATCCCTCGTGGTGGTTTTGTGCTGGTGATAATCCACAGAGAAAAGCTCCCTCTAAGGTGGGAGGACATGAGGGCATGCAGGAGAAACTGGCTCTAGTTGCTTAAAGTTTGATTTTTCCTGTCCCATAGCCCACCTTGGATTAGATGATTCAATGTGGCTTTTCCTGATTGTTATTTTCCTGTTGCATGTGCTTTTCAAGAATATCTTTCTCTACATAAAAGTTTCACTGTGCAAAACTTCACCTACAAGAAGAAACTTTAAGAGATGTAGAAGTCACATCATTCTAGATCCAGTCCCCACCCCCCATTTCCAAAGTGTATTTCTTGACGTTCTTAGTTTGACTTTTTAGATGAGTTTCTTGCTTGAGTTTCAACTTGACTGTGTGCAGGTTTCATTGGCATTTGTAATTAGATTTTGAGTGGGAGGTCAGATATTTTCAGAGATCCTGATGTTTTGGGTTTTTCTTCTCAATACAGAACGTACCTGTAGCATTTGTAAAAGAGGGCCTGGGAGGGGCTCCTTGTTAAAGTGCCAGTGCTTTCCGGCTGGCTGCATTCTCCTCAGATGGAGGTACTCCAGCCAGCAGGGATTTAGAACTGGGTGTCTCTCTGTGGACAGATGTTCTGTATGGGGAAATGTTTCTCACCGTGGTATTCCCACCAGCAGTATCAGCATCTCCTGGGAATGTTTTCATAATGCAGCTTCCAGGGCCTACCCTAGACCTACTGCATCAGGCACTGTTGGGGGTCAGAGGAAAGCCTTCCAGGTGGTTTCAGTGGTGCTCAAGTCTAAAAATCTCAACTTTAGATTCAACAGGGTTGACTGTCTTAGTAGAGAGATAATTTTAGATCTTCTGTGTTTTAATTCTTTTTAGGGTTAGAGGTAGTTTCTTTTCTCCCAGAAGCTCCTGATTTTGTCTTCACTGCCTCTCTTTGCTGATGGAAATTTAAGAAGCCATTTTCTTGAAAATTGTGTGCAATGTGTCTTTTATGGATCCCTAGCAAAATTGACCTGTATTCGTGTAGTCTTGGCATGAGAAGTTGTTTTTTTATCATAGAGAGACAAGAAATACATTGTTAAGAAACTTTAAAAGAGTAAATATTATTTTTCAGTGGTTCATTGAAAGGAGTCAGTGAAATGACTTAAATCAGGTAACATTTAAAACCATCATCAATGCAGACTCTTAGAACCCGTCCTGCTACAAGTGCAGGCTCAGTGTGTCACACACTCGCCTCCCTGACAGGTTGGAAGCACATGCTGTGAAAATGGCACATTTGTGCTGCATTAGGACTGGCATATGGAGTGCACTGACCAGCAGTTTCATTCTACAGGTCGGATCTGACTGTAAGGTGTGATGTTTACATAGAGAACCCTGACAATGGAGGTGTGTTCATTGCAGGAAGAGTAAATAAAGGTGGAATTTTGATCAGAAGTGCCAGAGGTGTTTTCTTCTGGATTTTTGCAAATGGATCATACAGAGTTACAGGTGATCTAGGTAAGTGACTTTGATAGCACATAACTTACTATGTAATATGGTACTGTGAGCCGCTGCTTGGTATTTACCTTTAGGACATCTCATTGGGAGGAGATTCAACACATGTAAGATATAACAATTCAAAATTAAAGTTTTATTTAATAAGTAACAGAGAGAAGAAGCTCGGGAAAAGAGGAAATTGCACAAAGCTTTATGGGGTGTTAGAGAGTTGAACGTGGTGTCAGGGTGGGATTTGCATAGCCAGAGTTAAGGTGGTGGAGGGCAAATGCCATAAATAACCGCAAGACAAAAGAACGTGCTGCTGTTATGCTTATGGGAGTGTAAGGAGCGGGATTGATGGGCTCAACATGGAGAAATCTCATTTCCCAGTTTAATGGGATTTCTTTATAATGGATAACTTGAAAACAGCTTGACTTTTTTTTCATTCATCCGAATAGCCATCATTTCACACAGCATAGGATTCTGCCCAGAGTGGGTGCTTAGAATAAACTCAAGTCAATATCTATCCTGTTCACTTTGATATTGGTACATACTGCCCTATTGAAATTGGACCTTTTTTTTTGGTGGCGACTTCTTGATACTCAGCCTCTTGACTTTCCTCCTACATTAATAAAGAATCTTCTTTCCTGCAGTTTGCTGCCCTTTGCCTCTTCCTGAGATGAAAAGGGCTCACACGTGAAATAAAAATTAATGAGGGAATGGGCAGTGAGGACATTAGAGCAGGAATTGCATAATCTTAAAATAACTGATCTAGAAGGTACTTGACTGATTTTTCCAATCCAAAACAGAAAACCAGAGAGATGCACTGATTTGTCTAAGACCTCAAAATGAGTGAGTGGCAGAACTGGAACTAGGTATTTAAGTCTATATCTTTAGTCCCCATTGTTTTATGTTTTAAGCTGCCTACCTTAACTCTCATCCTGGGTTTTCCTCAGGTATTCGAATGTAGTAAATCCCCAAGTTATTATTTTCTCGCTCTAATTCTTGGTTAATGCCATTTCCATGTAACCAAGTAGACTAGCTGGAGCACTTTTGATAGTCTTTGACTTCTCCCTTCCTCCAGATTTAACCCAGCTGGGTATAAATCTATACCTACAAGTATGACCACATTGCACTATGGTTGGCTTCTGAGTTTATTTCACTGGTTCTCTAGTGAGCGCCCATGTAGTCTAGGGCTCAGAGTAGGATCCTAGCCCATGTCTGTTGAAGGTATGCCTGAGTGAAAGATGTTTCATTTGAAATCAGCTGCAGATCTGGAAATGAAGGAACCTCACTTTTTATTAAGGTGAACTTTACTATATACAGATGCCATCTGCAAACCTGCATGGAGTTATGTGATTCTGTGGTTTAGGTATCAAAGATATATCAGTTAGAGTAATCTTTCTGTGTTACAGCTGGATGGATCGTATATGCTTTAGGATCTGCTGATGTTACAGCAAGAGAATGGTATACTCTCACTTTAACTATTAAGGTAAGAACTGATCAGGGAGCCTGGCCTTTTTGTGTGTTGTCCACTCAGAGGGGCAGAGTGTAATAAGTAATGGAAAGAGGCAGAGGGTCTGCCTTGATACCAGCAAACCACTAGTCCCTGGGAAGACAGGGTGTACGCAGGACCCACATGAGAACCACCAGCAGTTGACTTTATCACCCCACTATTTTTTAGATTTTGTTAAACTAGGGACCAGTTGGTAGATAAAATCAATAACTGAGCTATTTGTGCATGTTTGCTTGAACCACTACCATAAGTGGAATTTATAGTTATAAGCAAAGTTTTATACTTTTACCTTTGATGGTTGAGAATAGTTTGATTTTCAGTTTTAAGAACACTTTTTTACAAGTTATTTTTCATTAATATTTTTTTTGTCAGAGAAGATACTAGATTAATTGTATCCTGGAAATCTAAAGATTTTTGTCAGAAATCACTGGTTGATCACGAGTTACTGATTCATAGATGTTTAATGTTAGGAAAAATTTTTATGTTTCTCTCTGTTTTACAGCATCTTTGGTGGAATATAAAAGTACTGAGGTATCCCACGTGCCACAGAAGCTATTTTTATGCATAGATAAGAATTTGCTCTGGGAAATTTTTTCCTGTATTTCAGACTTTTTCTCAGACTTGTGGAATTATGTCTTGGGGCAGTTAACTCTTGAGGAAAATGATGTTTTCTTCATTACAGTAGTGGGTTGTGCATGTTAAAAAGACTTCAGATGGTCATTTTCATGTTTTCAATGGATGATTTTCTCTACTCCAGGGTCATGTCTCCTCTGGCATGTTGAATGACAAGATTCTCTGGAAAAATGTCCATGTGAACTTCCCAAAGAATGGCTGGGCTGCCATTGGAACGCACTCCTTTGAATTTGCACAGTTTGACAACTTCTATGTGAACGCTTCACACTAATGCACAGCACCATAGCACATGCTTTGGATTTTCTTCCTTTTTGATTTGGGTTCAGAGCCAGTTCTTGTTTTGATGGACCAATATATAAGCCTTTTGGAGGCATAAAATAATGAAGAAGAAATGGGGTAGACATTCTGGTTTTGCTTGATCCTCGAAGGATATTTTAGAAATAATTTCAAGGAGAAACAGATGAATCTTTTAACATTCCCTGATGTGTGCCCTAAGACTCAAACTGTACTTGGTCCTTGTCGTTAGGATGCTTTGGGTGCTTCAGCCCTCCTGGCCTCAGCATTAGCACTGAGGTAGCTTTCTTCACGTTACTGGCCTGGCAAGTGATCATGCAGATGGCACTAACTCAGTCAGTGCGCTGGTGGATTTATTAACTCTGACTGTGTATCTGTGAGGTGAGGCCTCGTCTTACCATAATGCTGCTGTAACAGGAAGCTGGAGGACACTGGAAGTGCTGCTTTTTGAAAACCACTTCAACAGGTTATATGTATACTCTACAAAGTGTTTTTACCTTTTCTTTTAAAGATGACACTTTTGAATTATAGATGTAGTGAATGGGGTAATTTAATATGCCTGCTTAACAAACTACCTCTGAAGCTATTTCTGCAATAAGAATATCAGATTGCTAACAGACTAATTGGGTTATCTGCATTTTTAATTCTTTCAGATCCGACTTTTAGTCTTCTTGCCCATATACCTTTCTGTGAACATTCTCTGTGGCTGGAAGGAAGAAGGAAAATCGATGAAATCAGTGCTGTTAGTGGGTCTAGAGACAAACTTGTAGTAGTTTTGCTGTGTCTCATTTCACTGTGCCTTTCCTGGTCTGACTCCTCATGTAGCACTGGTTACAGCTGAAAATAGCTATTGAAGTCTTGTGTCTCCTTTTGTGTGAAGGAGGGAAGCACTTAACTTTTTTCTAGTTCATGGAATTGGATCATCCCTAATATTCTGTGTGATTAATGCATTAATTTCATTAAAATACAAATGTGTTTATATTTAAGTGTAGGTGAGTATATTTCTCATGTGACATAATTTATACATAAGCGTTAGTATACTGCTTAGAAATGACTGATAATGAACAACTTATGAACATTTGCAAATTCATTGAACTAGTTCTACAGTTTGGGAATTTGTAATGGTTTAACATAGACTTAACTGACAGGAAGTTTTGTAAGGCTATTAAACACAAGAAGCCAAATATTACAATAAATCAGATTACAGAGAAAAATTTTAAAGCCATGTCTAAATGAGTTCCAGTTCAGATTCCTGCATAGTTTTAAAAACTAACTTTATTGAGGTTGCATTTATATACAAAAAATTACTACTTAAAGTGCAACCTTGTAAACCAACACTCCATTCTAAGATAGTGACCATTTCCACCCCCAGAAATTTGTCTTGTTCACCTGTCTAGTCATTTCCCTACCCTCCTCCCTCTGCTCATCTCAGGCAGCCATTGATCTGATTTTTCTCATTATTGGTAAGTTTTTTTAAAGATTTATTTTATTTATTTATGCATACAAGAGCTGGGGTGCTGGCCAGAGGTGTGGGGGGGTGTGTGTGAGAGGATTCACCAGAGACAGAGTGGGGAGCGGAACAAGCAGATCTACTGAAATACACTGCTGAAGGGAGCAGTGGGCGAGACAGGAGAGGTCTGCTGTGCCATGTGGGGTCAGCTCCCTGGCCGGGGATCAAACTCATGTCTCAGTGTTGGTGATAGCTTGATAGTGCTGAGACTTTAAGCCCTGAACCACCAAGGAGGCCCTATCGATAAGGTTTTTTTTGTTCCAAAACAGCATCTTATGCTGTGTACTCTTTTGTCAATGGTTTCTTTCAGTCAGCATAATTGCTTTTGAGATTTGTCTTTGTTGCTGTGCATTTCAGTGACTTGCTCCATATTTTTAATATCTATTGTATGGCTATGCTACAATTTTCCCCCTCAGATTTTGGTATTGCAAATAAAACTCTGAGGAACATTTGCATACAGGTCATGTGTGGATATACATGTTTTCATTTCTTTTGAGTAAATGCCAAGGAGTGAAATTCTGGATCTTAGGGGAATTATATTTAGCTTTATAAGAAAATGCCAAACTTTTCCAAAATGATTGCATGATTTTATCCTCTCATCTCAATTTTTGGGAGTTTTAGTTGCTCCACATTTTCATCACTGCTTCATATTGTTGTTCTTTTAAATTCTAACCCCTTTCTTGTGGGGGTATAGTAGTTGCATTAGTTATTGAACATCTTTCCATGGGCTTTTTTTTTTTTAAAGATTTATTTATTTATTTATACAAGCACTGGGTACAGTCAGAAGCGTGGGAGGGTGAGAGAATTCACCAGAGCCAGAGCGGGGAACAGAACAGACAGACTGATGAAGTACACTGCTGAGGGGAGCAGTGGGCAGCAGGAGAGGTCTGCACACCATGTGGGACCCTCACCAGTGGCCGGGGATCGAACCAGTGCTGCAGAGGCTGTGGGCAGCTTCACAGCCCAGCGCTCAACTGCTGAGCCACCAGGGGAGGCCCCACAGGCTTATTTGCCATTCATATATTTTCTTTTCTGAAACATCTGTTCAACTCTTTTGCTCATTTTAAAAATCAGGTTGTTTGTCTCATTATTGAGTTGCAAGAACTCTTTATATATTTCAGATGCAAGTTTCATTTCTCTAAGTCAGATATATGCTTTCTAAGTCACACAGAAGCTGTCATTGGGGAAGACCCTCCTAGACAGAGGCAGGGGTACAAGTTCCCTAAATGTAAATAAATGATGCTAAAACTTACCGGCAGGTTGTTAACTCTCCTGTGTCCCCACAGTAGCTTCCTCCCAGTGAGGTTGCACAACTTCTGACCTGAAGCCTCACAGGTTTCTTGGCTGCTGGTGATTCTGCTGTTGGAGGTGGGAATCCAGTCAGACTGGGAGGATCTGGGGTGCCTTTACCCTCCTACCTCTTTTTGATTGCTTTGAAGACTCTAGATAGGAGCATGGCTCCTTCCTTTGTATACATGGCAGCAATCCCAGGACAATATGAATATTTGCTGCAAGACTGGGTGAGTTGAAGGTAATTTTCTCAGTCCAAACCATAGATCCTCCAGAAGTCTCTTATCAAACTCCCTCTGAAAAATCAAGATACTACGATGTATAATTTTGTATGTCTACTTGGCTAGGTCAAATTTGGTGAAATATTATTCTAGATTTCACCATTCTAGACAAAAATCGATTAAGATGATTCTGTGAAGGGTTTTTGTTTTTAAGGGATTAATATTTAAAATTACCCTCCATCATGTGGGTGGGCCTCTCACAATCAGTTGAAGGCCTTATTTAAAAAAGACAGACCTCCTGGGGAGAAGAGGGAATTCTGCCAGCAGGCTGCCTGGGGCTCAAACAGTCCTGCTTCTCTGGCTCTCCAGCTGGCCAGCTAGCTTGAGGCTTCTGGATTTGCCAGGCTGCCACAATCATGTGAGCCAGTTCCTTAGAATAAATTTCCCTCTATGCCTACATCTTGGTGGTCCTGTTCCTCTGGAGAACCCTGACGGAAACAGGGTCCTTCTCATCCAGAAGGGCATCTTGGAATTCCTCACTGAAAGTGGGTAAAGTCTTCTATTTGGAGTACTGTAATATATTTTCTAATCAAAATCTAACTTAGAGCAAAAGAATTTTGGCTCTTTTTTACAGAGGAGAGCAGAGTTCATGGGAAATCTTCAATAGACATTTGTGAATGAGCTGGGGAGGAAAGTGTCTCGTCAGTCTGACTAAGCCTTTCCTTTGCTTGTCTAGCAGGAATGCGCGGCTGGCAGGGTTGCACTGTTTTTTTTTTTAAGGATTTATTTATTTTTTTGTGCATACAAGAACTGGGGTACAAGCTAGAGGTGTGGTGGGTGAGAGGAGTCACCAGAGACAGAGTGGGGAGCAGAACAGGTAAACTGACTGAAATACACTGCTGAGGGGAGCAGCAGGCGAGTCAGGAGAGGTCTGCTGCACCATGTGGGTAGCTCCCTGGCACTGATGTTTAAGTAAACTAAAATCTGTTTAAAAGTTGACTTTTGAAAATTCCTCTTTCACAATGATCAGGGGCACTTTACTTTCAGCATATTCCTTTTGCTGCTGCTGTTCATGAGGGAAAGAGCTGTGCTTCCCACTTCAGAAGAGGTGCCAGGAACACCAATTTATGTTGCCGACTGGAATTGAGTAAAATTCTAGCCTGAGCCACAGAGGCTTGGAAGGGAGGTTTTTCAGCTAGACACATTGACACTTCAAATACAATTGGGGTTCAGTTACTACGGACAAATGAGACAGTAAACGTTGGGCAGCTCACAGCCTCTGCCACAGGGGCCTATTTTTGTTAATGTTCTTTAGAATCTCTATCTGTCAAAAGGCATTTGGCACTTCAGACCCACATATCTACTGTATTAAAGCTGGCAGACCTGAATTGCTATTGTCTTTAGGGAAACAAAAATATCCCACACATACTTAATATGAATGGAACATGTTGGAGCTGGGGTTGGGGGGGCAGTGGTGGAGGCTGAGGGTGGGGGTGGGGTCCATATAACGTGGCACAGCCCCTTCATTTTAGAGAGGAAGAAACAAAACAAAAGCACGGCCAGGGCAGGTGGCCTGAATGGACATTCAAATGCCCTGAGAAGATGTTTTGGGAGCAGGAAGTTGGTGGCCCCTGGCTGTGGCTTCACACCCTTGATGCCTGTCATTTCCATTCCAAAGACAGAAAGTTACACAGCCCTTCCACGCTGTCTCTCTCCTTGAGGCTTCAGTGTACAAGCACCTGCCTTTGGGGAATCAGGAGCCCAGAGAAAAGGCTGCAAATTCTGGCCATTCTACTCACTCTAGGACTTGTACCGTGACAAGATGGCTTCCACTGTGAGCATCTTGAACTCATAACAGCCTGCATCTAGTGAGAATTCCTTTGTAAGCTCCGTGGAAGTGGGGATCAAGTTTGATTTGATGCACTGCCACGTCTGTGGGGCCTAGTGTGGTCCTTGATGCATAATCTATGATACAACAAGTAAATACCCGCTGACCGAGGGGGAGGGGTGTTTACGAGGTGGCAGACGCCACGTTAAGCACTTTACAAGAGTTATCACCTGCCTTTCTCAGAACAACCCCATGAGAAAGGTAATATTTGAAACTAAACTTGAAAACGTGCCCAAGGATACTCAAACAGTGAGTGGCGGAAACTTGGAGCAATCTGACTCCAGGCAAATTATCGGGGAAGCTGGAGGCTGGGTTATCACATGGAATGTATCAAACTACTGTCAGGTTACACGTGGGGAACTTTAAAAGTCTCATAAACTTATATGTTATCCAGCCTTCAAGAGTAGTTAGTTAGCCTGAGCAAAAAATGGAAGAAGAAAATAGGAAAAGATGAAGCTGTTAATTTGGCCAAAGTGAACTGGGTATTTTTTTGGAGAGTGGGGTGAAGTAAAGGGGAGACTAGTTACTCAATAAAGGTTTAACTATTCTTGAAATGATGAGAAATGGTTTGAAATGGCGAGACTTTCCAATGAGCTAAATGTCCAATCTGAAAATGCCATCCTGTGGTATTATGGACCATGGATGAGAGGGATTTATTTCCATCACGTTAAATCTTGTTCAAAAGAAATGGCAGGTTTCAATGTGGGAGGAGCAGGAGCTACATGAAAGGACCCTCTGTGACTTCATGCCTTGGGCACTACCCACTCGCCTCCGGGGTCACAATGCCTGTATTCTTGTGAGTGTGATTTTCTTTTCCTGAGACATTTCTATTTTTTTTTTAAAGATTTATTTATTTGTTTTTATTCAAGAACCGGGGTACAGGCCAGATGCGCAGGAGGGTGAGAGGATTCACCAGAAACAGAGTGGGGAGCAAAACAGGCAGACTTATCAAAATACACTGCTGAGCAGCGGGCGAGACAGGAGAGGTCTGCCACGCCATGTGGGACCCTTGCTGGCCGGCCGGGATCGAACCGGCACTGCAGAGGCTGTGGACAGCTTCACAGTGCGGCGCTCAACTGCCTGTACCACCAGGGGAGGCCCCTGAGATATTTCTAATGCTAGACACCCAGGTAGGGGGTGAAGATGTGATCCTGTGTCTCAGACCTCTCCAGAGAAATCTAAGCCAAGAAGACCAGAAAGGATTCCTGAAGCTGACCCCGGAGACAGATTTGGCCCAGGGCTTGTCCTTGGGTGCTGGGTGTGGAGCAGAGGTTAGGTGGTCACATTCCTTTAAAGGTTTTGTTTTTTCCCTCTGTGCATATTTCTCTATTCTAATTTTCCACCGTGGCAGCCTGCTAGGATCGTCTGAAGCGGCCCCAAATCTCAATGCCTGAGTCAGGTCTGATTTCATTGGTTTGGGAGTGACTTGGCATCAATATTTCTTCTAGAAGCATCTCGGGTGATTCTGAAATGTAGCTGGGATTAAGAGTCTTTATTATAGATTCCAAAGGCTCCTGTCCCCACAACCGTTGTGTGTTTTTTTGTTTGTTTGGCCTTTCTCCTCTGCCTGTGTTCTGACTTATCTGGCAGGGGGCTGCTCCTTTTATTGGACCTCATTTCTGAGGACATCAAAGATTGGGGTAGGGAGGGCAGAGGACTTTTATTGAAACCTTGGAATGACTTGTATATAGCAATGGATTATTTTTCTTTCACATTACAAATTAGTGACTAAACAAAGGAAATAGATAATGAAAATGGAACAAGTGTGAATTAGAAAAGTTTTGTGTTTTCTATAACCAGTAAGTCTGAGCATAGATTATCTTCTAACAGTGGAAAATATAAGTGCTTTTCTAAGAAAGGTTTCTAATAAAAGTGATGCAGGCGGAATTTACAAATAAAAGACCAATTATTATGGAAGAAATGAAACTCTTGCCATAAAACATCAGGCTCAAACAGCCTGATGGAGAATTTTATATTACTGAGGGGCACATGGTTTTGAAGTTGTTTAAAAATGTTGGAGAACAGAGAAGTAAAGTTTCTGAATTATCTGTATGAA